GTGCAGACTGATTAACATGCAGTGCATACAGAGACTGATTACATGCAGTGCGTACAGAGAGTGATTAACACACAGTGCATACAGAGACTGATTAACACGCAGTGCATATAGAGACTGATTAACACGCAATGTATACAGAGACTGATTAACACGCAGTGCATACAGAGACTGATCTTCTAAAGGGCTCTGCACACATGGTTGAATGATCCATGGTTGGACACGATGCAGGGCAGTCGAGCTATGCACCGCAGGTAGTTTACTCATCCTTCCTAACACTTTCACATGCCAATTACCCACAGATCTCCTATTCAGGCAATAGAGGGCCAGTGCTAAGGAAGAGGGAGCCCAGAGCATCATGCCTTCAACTGGGCCAGATTAACATAGGGGCTGATGGAGCTGCAGCTCAATGCCTAGGCTCAGGCCCATGAAATAGGCCCTTTGATTTATTTAAAAACAATTTTTTTTTACACACTACTCTTAGGGTTGCCATCTGGCTGATATTTATTTGAGGCTGCCTGGGTCGCTGTGTGTGTGGAGCGAGGCAGGGATAGGACGTTACAGCATATACTTGCATCTCTCTACTCACTCATCCACGGGTGAGCAGCTACACAGCACATAGAGTCCAGACAGCAGCTCCCAACCTGCAGAGACAGCCTACAGCTCAGGAAAGTGAGAGATGGGGTAAAGGCTGCACAAAGACATGGGGACACAGGGAGACCTCTGGGGACGCTGAGACCCTTGGAGACACATGGGGACACTGAGACACTAGGGGGTGCTGGGAGACATGGGGACACGTGGGGACACTGAGACATGAGGAAACAAACACACATGGGGACACTGAGACATGGGGACAATGAAACACTTGGGAAAACTGGGAGACATAAGAACACTGAGACATTAGGAACACAATGTCCCCAAGTGTCTTAGTATCCCCATGTCTCCAAGCCAGTGTCGCTGATGTCTCAGTGTCCCTAGTGTCTCAGTGTTCCCATGTCTCCCAGTGTCCCTAGTGTCTGTGTGCCCATGTCTTCCAGTGTCCCCATGTGTCCCTAGTGTCTCAGTGTCCCTATGTCTCCCAGTGTCTCCATGTCTCCCAGTGTACCCAAGTGTCTCTGTGCCCCCATGTATCTCAGTGTCCCCTAGTGACATGAAGACATTGGAAGACACTTGGAGCAATCCATCTATACAGCAGAATCAAACTGTAAGTAGTTTTTGGGGGATTTTACAGAATTTTCTCTGGGGACACAGACACTAGGGGACACTGGGCACCATGGTGACAATTGGAGACATGGGGCACTGAAACACTGTCATACATACGGACACTGTGATACATACTCTCAGTGTCTCCCAGTGTCCCCACGTTTCCCAGTGTACCCAAGTGTCTCAGTGTCCCCATGTCTCACGGTGTCCCCTAGTGACATGGGGACACTGGAAGACACTTGGAGCAATCCATCTATACAGCAGAATCAAACTGTAAGTAGTTTTTGGGGGATTTTACAGAATTTTCTCTGATGTCACACCTTGTGATTTACATCATTTGATGTCACACATACATAATTAGTTATGCAAATTAGTAAGGCCTGTATGTTTTTCCAAGAAAGGTGGCAACCCTAACTACTCTTCACATACTCTTGCTTAAGTATGGAAACTTAAGAGGGATGTATGGGAACAAAACTTGTGTGGACTGGCTGAAATTAGTTAAGGTAAAGCTGACTTTGGTCTCTCTAACACTGTGGTATGTTCCCTTTCTTCTACACTCACTACATACAGCTTTTCTCTGTCAGACTGTATACCAGGAGCTTCTGCCTGCTAGTAAGAAAGGTAGGAGAGGAGTGGATCAGCGAGTGCTAGAGGACAGTCCTTAGAAAGCGTGGAGCAAGCGCATCATTAGACGCATTTATGCCAAGCTCAGGATGCTGTTGGCCAGCATGCATTCATGCCAGGCTAGACTTCCAATTCTTTGGGCAGACACACTTCCTTTTTTGGCATGTTCGTCCCTTTCGGGAGTTCTCTTTATATATGATCTGTGTCAGTGGCACTGAAGTACTATTTCGGATAGCAGTTTGGATTATGAAAATCAGGGACTGGATTTTAAGCGTTTGGGGCAGATTTTTATAATCCGGGTCCGAACTTCAGCCATCCAGAAACCTTCGCTCAGCTGATATCGGAAACCGAAACCAAATTCACGCTTGGTCACAGCCTTTTCTGCTAAATCCAAACAAAACAGCAAAGGCAATGTCCAGATAGTGTGAACGGCCACTTACAGCAGCCAATGGTTCTGCCGTGTCTGGGACGGGGCCATTGCCAGTTTAATGAATAAACCATGTAATTGATTCCCCCAGTTTGCAGCCTCAGCCTTCTCGGTACCATCTGTATGAGAGGCTGCAGCAGTGGCGCACAGACCTGTTACTGTGTCCCAGATATAACAATATGGCTTTACGTCTCTATATAATGGAGCATTGTTGCATTCCTCTGTCTTTCTAAACAATAGAAGTGGCTGTAGCAAGTTCTTCTCGCAGTCTCACCCTCCCTAACATTGCAGTCACATTCCTCCTGCTCATACATACATACACAGCTTTTCAAACCAGCCCACACATACACTGTGTCATTATCTCACAGACACAATAGACAGGCACATGCCTTGCCCCCACCCAAATCCTCTCATCACACACCTTACCCCATTCTTGGCTCTGAGCCCCGTCCCCTTGGATACCAGGAATGTGTGGCCACAGGACCTTTAACACACTTGGAGGGTTCTACAAACTACCAAACCTGGGTTTTAGGAATGCTGCAACAGGGTGGGGAGAGGGAGGATCTTTAACCCCTTAAGGACCAAACTTCTGGAATAAAAGGGAATCATGACATGTCACACATGTCACGTGTCCTTAAGGGGTTAAATGTTCTACATGCATTACATCCAATACTGTATTATATAGATACATTATATAGAACATAGAACGTACATTACATCCCAATATCCATATACATATGATACTGCATTATATAGATACATTATATAGAACATAGAACGTACATTACATCCCAATACTGCATTATATAGATACATTATATAGAACATATAACGTACATTACATCCAATACTGTATTATATAGATACATTATATAGAACATATAACGTGCATTACATCCCAATACTGCATTATATAGATACATTATATAGAACGTACATTACATCCAATACTGTATTATATAGATACATTATATAGAACATATAACGTGCATTACATCCCAATACTGCATTATATAGATACATTATATAGAACGTACATTACATCCAATACTGTATTATATAGATACATTATATAGAACATATAACGTGCATTACATCCCAATACTGCATTATATAGATACATTATATAGAACGTACATTACATCCAATACTGTATTATATAGATACATTATATAGAACATATAACGTGCATTACATCCCAATACTGTATTATGCTCTGGGTGTCTACAGTGTCCCTTTAAAGCAAGATGATGCTACAGCACCTCCCTTGCGGGGATGCCAGCCCATGCATTTCACACCCTTTTAGTGGGTATAAACACAGTAAGTAGGAATGAATTGTGTACATACAGTGTGAGTGTTAATTTAATGAATGCTCAGCTGCACTAAGCCTTTTTACTCATTAGACAAACCATTTACTTGCAGCGGTATTACAGATTGTTTCTATGAGCCGCTAGGGAGCATGGACTGTACCCCTGGGTGATTATTCCGTCACTTTGAGAGACCCCCAGAGAATAGCTTAATAACAGAGCATTCCAATTAGCTTTGCCTTTTCATGGGATCCCTCGAGGGGTTAAATACACGGCTTCCTTTCAGCTGGAAATCTGTCCTGTCATGGTGGTACGATACTCTGCTTCCTGCCCATCCTTCCACTTATCTCACAGCAAACGGACTGAGAGTATTGGGGTACATGGAAAGTACTAACAATATTGGGGTACATGGCAAGTACTAACAGTATTGGGGTACATGTAAATACTGACAGTATTGGGGGACATGGAAAGTACTAAAAGTATTGGGGTACATGGAAAGTTCTGACATTATAGGGGTACTTGGAAAGTAGGAACAGTATTGGGGTACATGGAAAGTACATAGAAACATAGAATGTGACGGCAGATAAGAACCATTCGGCCCATCTAGTCTGCCCAATTTTCTAAATACTTTCATTAGTCCCTAGTCTTATCTTATAGTTAGGATAGCCTTATGCCTATCCCACGCATGCTTAAACTTCTTTACTGTGTTAACCTCTACCACTTCAGCTGGAAGGCTATTCCATGAATCCACTACCCTCTCAGTAAAGTAATACTTTCTGATATTATTTTTAAACCTTTGTCCCTCTAATTTAAGACTATGTCCTCTTGTTGTGGTAGTTTTTCTTCTTTTAATCCCATAAGGACTGAGCCAATTGTACACGTTGTGATCAAAACAAAACGTAAACAAAAACTTGAATTATGTCTGTTCAGGCGTAATTCACCTCTTTCATATTAAATGCACCCACACTTATCATATATCATTTTGTTCAGGACAAACAGGGCTTTCATGTCACATAATATATTTGTATATTAAACATAATTTAATATGAATAAAATATAAAAACAAAATTAGAATTTTTTTTATTTTTTTTTGTTTTACATGACATTATAACTGTGAATGTCACACTACTGTTAACTGTTACTGCAATAAAATACACATATTTGTATTCAGCGATGTCTTGTGTGTAAAACAGTACCCCCTATGTACAGGTTTCATGGTGTTTTGGACAGTTGCAGGGTCAAATATAGCATTATAACGTTACATTTTTCATTTTTTTCACATTGAAATTCGCCAGATTGGTTACGTTGCCTTTGAGGTAGCCCAGGAATAAGAATTACCCCCATAATGGCATACCATTTGCAATATAGGTATTACAAATGGTATTACAAATGTCCAGTCTTTTTTTTTTTTTTTTTTATTCTTTATTTTTGCATTGACAGACATTACAGCTTGTAAACAGTATTGGGGCTTGTGCATAAGCCTAGCATCAAGAGGTACATTGGTATTTCAGTGATACCGAAAAAAGATAATAGTTTTGTTAGGTATAGCTTTGTTGTTCGGAAGCCCCGCCGTTACTTTTTGCGTTGTTGTCTGAAGCTGCAGTCCATCAGTGTTTTTCCATTTTCATAAACACAATAAACTTCAAAACCTGGGAACACCATATTTGGTGTTTACCTTAAGATAACACAAACATCTAAAACTTTGTATCATAACCTGGTATTCTATTCGTCTCGTAGTTATTATTATTTTCCTTCCCCGCCCCTGCCCCCACGCCCCCACCCCCGATTATGAGCACCTGAGTGGAGCATTACTTTTCTTGCGTGAGCCGTGTTTGTGATGACTATGTGTTGTCTGATCGTTTACACTTTGCCCTGTCCGATGTTGGGCCCTTGTGCCTTCCTCTGTGCCGCCTTCCTACAATACATCTACCTATTATCGTGGCTGTAAGTCCCCCTTTTGAAGAGCGTGATACAGACCTGGTATTTTGCTCGTTAGCCCTCCTGGCTTTGGGCTTGTGTGTTTTACGCTCCCTACTGTGCAACTTTTGTCAGTTTTTTTTTTTTTTGTGTATAGTATTCCTCTTCTGTGAGGAAAAGGCAAAGAGAGAGGAGGGCGAATTTAGTTTAGGTATCCGGGAGGGGCGGGGAGGTAGCGGGCCAAAGGGGAGGGGGACTGTTGCATGTTGCATGTGTGTGTGGCGGTAGGAGCCGCTTAGGTTGGCTCTTGTGTCTCATGGTGTGCACGCCATTCTTTCTAGATATTCCTCCCACGGTTGCCACACCTTTGAGAAGGTGCCCATGGTGTTCCGTACCTGCGCTGTCAATTTGTCCCTGGTGAAATTGTCCTGTATTTTGTGTATGACGTTGCTCATAGGAGGGGTGTCGGGGCTGAGCCATTGTTGGGTCAGTGCTCTTCTGGCTGCTAAGGTCAGTTTGTTAACTAGTTTCTGTTATTTTGTCGTCAGGTCGTCTTGTGGTTTGGCTAGTAAGAATGTCCATGGGTCTCTGTGTATTGGTCTCTCCAGGACTGCTGTCCCTTTGGTCGGTAGAGTATGTGTCGAGCTATCCTGTGTCCCATATAAATTGGTCTATGTTGGTTTGTAGGGATTGGAGGTCCCCTTTCGTAACTTTCGTGGGCAGTGCCTGGAAGAGGAACAGCATCCTCGGTAATACATTCATTTTAATTGCGTAAAGGCGACCTATCCATGAGATTGGCTTCTCATGCCATTTTTCTAAGTCTTTTATTATTGTTTTAGTCATTGGTGTGTAGTTTTTCGTATACAGTCGTGAGACCTCTTTTGTTAGTTTGACCCCCAAGTATTTTATATGTTGGTGGTTTAGCTTTATATGTGCCGTCCTCCCTATCAGCGCAGTGTCTTCCGCCGTCAACCCCAGCGGCATGGCTTCTGATTTTTCCATGTTTATTTTATAGCCCGCTACCTGGGCGAACTCCTCTAGCAGCCGGACTAGACTCGGGAGGGAGTTCTCCAAGTCTGTGAGAGTGAGCAGGATGTCATCCGCGTACGCAGATACTTTATACTGCTCTGTTGCTATTGTCAGTCCCTTTATGTTTGGGTGTCCCCTAATCTTGTAGAGGAGAGGTTCTAGGGCTAGTATGAAGAGGAGCGGCGAGAGTGGGCAGCCCTGCCTTGTGCCGTTACTTAGCTGAAATGGTTTTGGGATCGCTCCTGGTATGGCTACTTGGGCCTATGGGTTCGTGTACAGTGCTTTGACCGCTGTGATGTAGTTTTCTGGTAGGCCTATGTGACGCAATAGGGCGAATAAGTAGTACCATTGGATCCTGTCGAAGGCCTTCTCCGCGTCCAGTGATAGGACGAGAGAAGGCGTCCGAGTTTTTCCGGCCCACCAGATCAGGTCCACTGCACGTCTAGTGTTCTCATACAGTTGCCTAGTTGGCACAAAGCCCACCTGGTCCGCGTGGACCAGCCTGGGCAGGATGTGACCCAGCCTGGTGGCCAGGATCTTGGCATAGATTTTGGAGTCTACATTGATTAGGGAGATGGGGTGGTAACTGTTCACCTTCGTTTTGTCCCGTCCCGGTTTTGGGATAAGAACCACGTTCGCCATGGCGAGCTCTGCATTGGGACGTTCCCCCTCCATCCATTCCTGGTACATTGTTGTCATGTGAGGTGCTAATTCTGTTCGCAGTGCTTTATAGTAGGCCCCGTCAAACCCATCCGGTCCCGGTGTCTTATTGCCCTCTATCAGAGTAGATAGGGTGTGCAGGGGTCTTGCAGAGCAGGAAGGGTGTGCAGGGAGTTGCAGAGCAGATAGGGTGTCTTGCAGAGCAGATAGGGTGTGCAAGGGTCTTGCAGAGCAGATAGGGTGTGCAGGGAGTTGTTGCAGAACCAATAGGGCGTGCAGGGAGTTGCAGAGCAAATAGGGTGTCTTGCAGAGCAGATAGGGTGTGCAGGGGTCTTGCAGAGCAAACAGGGTGTGCAGGGGGTTGTTGCAGAGCAGACAGGGTGTGCAGGGAGTGTTGCAGAGCAGATAGGGTGTGCAGGGGGTTGTTGCAGAGCAGGAAGGGTGTGCAGGGGTCTTGCAGAGCAGATAGGGTGTGTAGGGGGTCTTGCAGAGCAGATAGGGTGTGCAGGGAGTTGTTGCAGAGCAGATAGGGTCTTGCAGAGCATATAGGGTGTGCAGGGATTGTTGCAGAGCATAGAGGGTGTGCAGGGGGTCTTGCAGAGCAGATAGGGTGTGGGCAGGGGTCTTGCAGAGCAGATAGGGTGTGCAGGAAATCTTGCAGAGCAGATAGGGTGTGCAGGGGGTCTTGCAGAGCAGACAGGGTGTGCAGGGGTCTTGCAGAGCAGGAAGGGTGTGCAGGGAGTTGTTGCAGAACAGATAGGGTGTGCAGGGAGTTGTTGCAGAGCAGGAAGGATGTGCAGGGGGTCTTGCAGAGCAGGAAGGGTGTGCAGGGGGTCTTGCAGAGCAGACAGGGTGTGCAGGGGTCTTGCAGAGCAGATAGGGTGTGCAGGGGTTGTTGCAGAGCAGGAAGGGTGTGCAGGGAGTTGTTGCAGAACAGATAGGGTGTGCAGGGAGTTGTTGCAGAGCAGGAAGGATGTGCAGGGGGTCTTGCAGAGCAGGAAGGGTGTGCAGGGGGTCTTGCAGAGCAGACAGGGTGTGCAGGGGTCTTGCAGAGCAGATAGGGTGTGCAGGGGTTGTTGCAGAGCAGGAAGGGTGTGCAGGGAGTTGTTGCAGAACAGATAGGGTGTGCAGGGAGTTGTTGCAGAGCAGGAAGGATGTGCAGGGGGTCTTGCAGAGCAGGAAGGGTGTGCAGGGGGTCTTGCAGAGCAGACAGGGTGTGCAGGGGTCTTGCAGAGCAGATAGGGTGTGCAGGGGTTGTTGCAGAGCAGGAAGGGTGTGCAGGGAGTTGTTGCAGAACAGATAGGGTGTGCAGGGAGTTGTTGCAGAGCAGGAAGGATGTGCAGGGGGTCTTGCAGAGCAGGAAGGGTGTGCAGGGGGTCTTGCAGAGCAGGACGGGTGTGCAGGGAGTTGTTGCAGAGCAGATAGGGTCTTGCAGGGAGTTGTTGCAGAACAGGAAGGGTGTGCAGGGGGTCTTTAGGAGCAGATAGGGTGTTCAGGGAGTTGTTGCAGAGCAGGAAGGGTGTGCAGGGTGTCTTGCAGAGCAGGAAGGGTGTGCAGGGGGTCTTGCAGAGCAGATAGGGTGTGCAGGGAGTTGTTGCAGAGCAGATAGGGTGTGCAGGGGCCTTGCAGAGCAGGAAGTGTGTGCAGGGGGTCTTGCAGAGCAGAAAGGGTGTGCAAAGGGTATTGCAGAGTAGGAAGGGTGTGCAGGGGGTCTTGCAGAGCAGACAGGGTGTGCAGGGGGTTGTTGCAGAGCAGACAGGGTGTGCAGCAGAGCAGATAGGGTGTGCAGGGGGTTGTTGCAGAGCAGGAAGGGTGTGCAGGGGTCTTGCAGAGCAGATAGGGTGTGCAGGGGGTCTTGCAGAGCAGATAGGGTGTGGGCAGGAGTTGTTGCAGAGCATATAGGGTGTGCAGGGGTTGTTGCAGAGCAGATAGGGTGTGCAGGAGATCTTGCAGAGCAGATAGGGTGTGCAGGGGGTCTTGCAGAGCAGACAGGGTGTGCAGGGGTCTTGCAGAGCAGATAGGGTGTGCAGGGGTTGTTGCAGAGCAGGAAGGGTGTGCAGGGAGTTGTTGCAGAACAGATAGGGTGTGCAGGGAGTTGTTGCAGAGCAGGAAGGATGTGCAGGGGGTCTTGCAGAGCAGGAAGGGTGTGCAGGGGGTCTTGCAGAGCAGGACGGGTGTGCAGGGAGTTGTTGCAGAGCAGATAGGGTCTTGCAGGGAGTTGTTGCAGAACAGGAAGGGTGTGCAGGGGGTCTTGCAGAGCAGATAGGGTGTGCAGGGAGTTGTTGCAGAGCAGACAGGGTGTGCAGGGAGTTGCAGAGCAGACAGGGTGTGCAGGGGGTTGTTGCAGAGCAGGAAGGGTGTGCAGGGGTTGTTGCAGAGCATATAGGGTGTGCAGGGGGTCTTGCAGAGCAAACAGGGTGTGCAGGGAGTTGCAGAGCAGGAAGGGTGTGCAGGGGTTGTTGCAGAGCATATAGGGTGTGCAGGGGGTCTTGCAGAGCAGACAGGGTGTGCAGGGAGTTGCAGAGCAGGAAGGGTGTGCAGGGGTTGTTGCAGAGCATATAGGGTGTGCAGGGGGTCTTGCAGAGCAGACAGGGTGTGCAGGGAGTTGCAGAGCAGGAAGGGTGTGCAGGGGTTGTTGCAGAGCATATAGGGTGTGCAGGGGGTCTTGCAGAGCAGACAGGGTGTGCAGGGAGTTGCAGAGCAGGAAGGGTGTGCAGGGGTTGTTGCAGAGCATATGGGGTGTGCAGGGGGTCTTGCAGAGCAGACAGGGTGTGCAGGGAGTTGCAGAGCAGGAAGGGTGTGCAGGGGTTGTTGCAGAGCATATAGGGTGTGCAGGGGGTCTTGCAGAGCAGACAGGGTGTGCAGGGGGTTGTTGCAGAGCAGGAAGGGTGTGTCCCCAGTTCTGGCTGCTCTGCCTCCTCCCCCTGGGCAGGCTGGGGCTGTTTGGTGGAGGGTGAGTCACCCAGGGGTGGGGTTACCCAGATCTCCCTCTTTTTCTCCTTCCTTCCTCCTCTTTCACGTTCTGTCTATCAGCTCAGGAGGGTCCGGATCCCCCATCACAGCAACAGGTAACTCTCAGCCTGGGGCCACCGGCGCAGGACTCCCAGTGCCAGCTAGCCGGGCAGGGAGGGGTTAATCAGGGTGCCTGGCACAGCCTGGGGGGAGTTCCCCCACCCCCTCACTGCAAACTTAGAATTCCTCTCCCCCAGAGTAACATTGTAACATCTGGTCCCCCTCCCTGTCTGTGAGTGTCAGAGCTGGGGATACAAAGTATCCGGGGGGGGGGGGGCACAGTGGGGTCACTCAGGAAGTATAATAACCCCGCTGGTTTAGAGGATTAGGCGTGCTGCTGGTACCCTGGGCTGGGGCTGATGGGGTAAGAGGACTAGGGTGGCTGGGGGTTGTTGGTACCCTGGGCTGGGGTAGGTGGGGTAAGAGTACTAGGAGGGATGGGGGTACCTTGTACTGGGTTAGGAGGACCAGGAGGGCAGGGTGCTGTTGGGACCTTGAGCAGGGGTAGAAGGACTGGGGGCTGTTGGTACCTTGAGCAGGGGTAGATGGGGTAAAAGGACTGGGGGCTGTTGGTACCTTGAGCAGGGGTAGATGGGGTAAAAGGACTGGGGGCTGTTGGTACCTTGAGCAGGGGTAGATGGGGTAGAAGGACTGGGTGCTGTTGGATCACACTGGGAGCTGAAATCTGTAATCAGTGGATTTGAAGGGAGCTCTGCGCCGGGCCCTGTGATTAGAGTTGGGGTGAAAGTCCAGGGGCACTGGGTTTCAATGCATCTGGAGAGGGCACTGGGTATTAATGCATGGGGGGGGCACTGGGTATTAATGCATGGGGGGGGGTACTGGGTATTAATCCATCTGGGTGGAGGGCATTGGTCTGTGTACACTGTGTATGTGCGGGGGTATTTGGGGCTGATTGTTTGTTTATATTATTTTTTTTACTCTAACTTATTTCTCACCAAGCTGTACATTGTGACCAAGTATTAGAGGAATTGTGAAGGTTATAAAGTTCTGACACTGTACAGCCAGGGCCTAAATCCTACATTCTCCTTGTTAATTCCCCACCATTCCCAGTGTGAGTGAGTGACAGCGAAGCCCAGAGAGGGAGGATGCACTCAGGTGTCTCTATGTAGGTGAGAGGTGAGTGCAGGTGACATGACGGAGTAGGGTGTGTTTGGGAGGGTACTGAGCTATGCTCCAAATACTTCATCCTCTTAACCCTTCCAGTGGCCCTGCCGGAAGTTACAGTATCCGCTTGGTAAGCTGATAGAAATATGTTTTTATTAACATTTGTGGGGTTTGTAGGGAAGCCCCCCGTTTCAGTGAGACGGTGTATTTATAGGTTTCATGTGACGCGTCCCATGTCACAGTGGAGTGAGTTTTCTTGGAGGCGTTCTGGCTGGGTTGTGATGTGAGGTCTCATGGTTTATGATGTCACAATATCCTGCCCCCCACACACCCAGGGCTGGCACATGCCCAGAGCCCAGTCCGCCTGTTCATATAGTCATGTTATGGGTCTCACAAGGTCAGATGTTTGGAAACGCTTAGTCGCTCTTTCCACCTCATCTCCCCAATCTCTCGCCTCCTGCCAATGTCACAATCCACCGCTGACCCAAGGGCTGGCTTTCTGCTAATGTTTTACCTTTTCTAGGGTACTGATTGACTTCCTTGTGCGTTGTAATCACTTCTAGGTTTTAGTTATTTGTTTTACCTCCTGTAAAAAAACATGCTTTCAATTAAATTCTTTACAAATATTTTTTTTGTTGTAATTTTTAATTTTTGTTATATTTTTCCATGTGTACCCTGTAAGCGCTGATGTGCACAAAATGCAAAGCACAGATTTGTGACTACAAATAAAAGCTTATTTTAGACCAAAATATTACCATGAAAGCTTTTTTTACAATTTTTTATTTTTTTGGGGGAAGAAAAACACAAATTTCTCTCAATCTGCACTTTGGTGAATTAGCGTGTCTGTTTTATGAAGAATGTAATGCTACAACATTAAAAGTCAGGGATTTTCCTCTTGAAAGATAATTATTAAACTTCCTCATTTTGGTTAAATTCATAGTGTTTCCCCCACGGTTAATGTTTTTACCTAAATTCTTTTTTTCTTTCTTCTTCTTAAGGCTCTAATTAATAAACTCCCAGATTTGAATTCAGTAACTATGAGCAGCTGTTAGTACAGTTACCTTTTCATGTGAGATCAGATCTGTATTTTTGTATCAATGGACTGTATAATAATAATAAAAATAATAATAATAATAATCCATAGGTTTACTTTCCTGGAGAATGGGGCAGGTTGTAGTCACTAACTGTACAGAGAGCGTGAGGGGTATTAGCTGCTGGGAGAGCGGGGCAGGGGGCAATATCACTAATTGTACAGAGAGCGTAAGGGGTATTAGCTGCTGGGAGAGCGGGGCAGGGGGCAATATCACTAATTGTACAGAGAGCGTGAGGGGTATTAGCTGCTGGTGGGTAAGTGGCAGTGTCACTAACTGTACTGAGCGTGTCGGGGGGGTATTAGCTGTGGGTGATTGGCAGTGTCACTGCACAGGGCGTGTATAGGGGGAGGGGGTTATTACCTGTGGGCAGGTGGCAGTGTCACTAATTGTACAGAGAGTGTCAGGGGGTATTGCGGGGCAGGTGGCAGTCACTACCTGTACAGAGAGTGTCAGGTGGGGAGGGGTGCTGTCAGGCCAGAAAACATACCGGGTAACTGTACAAAATAAGACGTGTAATTCAGTCCCTGAAAGATCATATTGGGGCATTGAATTTCTCCGGGCCTTTTATTTATTTATTTTTGTTCTCAGATCTTAAAGTACTATCGAAGCGTGTCCATCTGGGTCCCCTATCTGTAACTCCTTATGAACTCACCTGCAGAACAGGTGCTCTGTACAAACCTTGCAGTATGTCGAAGGGCAATGCATTGTTGACCGTCTGAGATCTGACTTTTTTGATCTATTTTTAAAATATTGTCTGCATCCTGTATGGGTTGAAACTGGGAGCGGTTTGAAAATATTTTGTTTCAAACTGAGAAGTTACTACTTGTCATTTAAAAACCAGCGTGGATGTTGAAGATTCAGAGTAAATTTGTGCCTCGCATGCTTTGCGTTCACCATATCGGTTGCCGGGTTTTGGGTCTCGATACGGTAGTAAGTCCTGGGGTCTTTTTTTATTTAAATTGTTTTTTTTTTTTGTTTTGTTTTTTTTTATCTATTCTGACTGGGCAGTATTTCAAACCTTGTCTAGACTTGCTAACTTTTTAACTAGTGACTGTAGTGTGTACTGTGCTGGCTAGAACATTTAGTATTTGACACTCCTTGGACCATAATGCCACTACAACAAATTTCTTTATTTTTTTAGTAAATCCGTGGCACCCTGACTCTTCCCTCCACAGGTACTCTGCAATTTTTCGGCAGTGCAGACTGTGCGTGTACCCTCGCAGTACGTACAGCATTCTGGGAGTTATTTTGCATTGACTGCTCTGGCTGTGCCGGGATAGCCGGATGTACAGAGTAAACTAAACATTGAAAATCTCGCAGAATTGTTTACATTTTTTTTTTCCTCTCACATTCTGTAGCAAACATTAGTTCTCTACTCAGTTGTACAAAAAAGCTTAAACTTTTTGGAACTCTTATCTCGATGGGTTTTAATGAATGTAAGATATTAAAGACTCAATAGAATAACGACACACATTCCGAATATAAACTAAAACCATTTGATGTTAATGTGCCCCATTCTTTCTATTTCATTGCAGTATGGAAGATCACATATTGGTTTATCATGTGCCTTTCCCAGTTGAGAATCTGACAATTAACAGATGATATCGGCTTCTTAGTAGTTTTATAACGGCCTCTTCCTACAAGATAAAACTACTAATGCGATAACTATAATCTATAGATAGTGTCTGCTGAATCTTCCTGCAGCTGCTACCAAGGAATACATAGTATTCTCTTATTTGTTACCAGTAAACTGACAGTTTTCTGCGATGATTGGGCGTGTGACGTCAGAATGAGGTGTTACCCTGGCTGACACTTGTGGTTCAACGAAAGCAAACTGGCCTGCGCATGCTCACTGTCGGAAAACACACAGGCCCACACCTCGGTCAAAATAGATTCAAGTGACTGGCCGTGCTGACTAGCCGCAGAAGGCCGTTGACTAGAAACGGCTGGTATTGCCAAGTCCAGAGTCAATGTTTAAACTAGACATTGTAAGAAATTTCAGGTTTAAGGGGAAAATGTTCCCCAACTGAGCCATGTTTTCAGTTCACCAATTTTGGCCTAAAACCTGCAATGCCTTCCCCATGCCAGCGAGTAAAACCCTTCTTATCGGATCTCATTTAAAGCTAGACTAGCCGGAGACTGGGAGCTCACCCGGCATTAGACTGTGTTCTGCAGCTGGTCCCGCGTAGTTCGTTTGGCTAAATACTTGTGAATGACATGATTTATTCCGGTTTATATCTGCTTTATAAAAGCTTCCTAGTTAAGGGTTTCTCTCCCGACTGGATTTGGATTTTGTGTTTAAATTACGGCTGTGTGAATAATCATTTGGTTTGTGTCACTGATTCTTCTGGATTAGAGCACTTTGTGTGTGAAACGTTTTGTGAAATAAACGAATGAATGAAAACACTGCGCAATCTCAGTAGCCTCAACAAGTATAATGTGCGTTCAGCGCCAGGTCGATCGTGTAATATACTGTCCCCGTTTATCGCTAATTCATTGATATTCTAGAAGAATTCATTGAGTTTCTAGAAGAATTGTTGAAACCTGCCTCTGGGAGGTAAAAGGGTCTTCACAAATTAGTTCCGAAGTGTCACAATTGGGTCTAACCGGATATTTCTAGCTCACTAGAGCTTGATCCAGGAAGTCAGGGATGGCCAGGAGGTAAATGCACAGCTAATATGCTACAGCTCCCATGATGCTTTATTGCCCTTTAAGGGAAGTTCTAAAAACAAAAAACAAAAAAAACCTTTTTATTTTCCCCAGCTCTGAAGTAAAACACCCATCTTGTTAGTGTACCTCACCTGGAATTCTATGGAGCCCTGCTTGGATATAGAAACTATTTCTGTGCTGAATAGCACTTGATGGATTGGTGATATGACCTCTGTAAAGTTAAAGAACCTATAAATCGCTGCTCAGTGCTTGCATCGGGTGTTCTTTCTTAGTCCTGATTATAAAGCGTATCGGCTGTGCTGGCGTGGGAACTGATTGGCCGATTGCTTTTTGCACGCACCGACGATTGTTTGAACCTATCGCTAAGCAGGGCAAAGAGTCAAATATGAAAATTCAATACTGTATTCCAGGTATATTCCAGCAATCTGTCCGGCACAATCTATAGATTGCATTTCGTTACGTTCAGCTGACGCTGCTGCCCAAATATTTGTGGATGATAAGTCCCCTTTAATGCCCTTGCCTTTGATTTACCCTCTAGCGGCTAATTGACTTGTTCCTCCTGTCAGCTGCAGAGCGTTTCATAGAAATGACTCCATGGTTAATTCCACAGTTGATACAATGCTTGGACTTTCTTCTTGTAAAGGGACATTAAGAGTGTATTAATGCATCAAAAATATATCTACTCGAGAACCCAGTTCACTTGTCGGATTTGACTCCTAATGTCATTGTGAGAGTCTGTCCTGGGGCTTGTAAAGGTCATAGTTCATTCTTGGAACTCTGTATACCTGTAGGGTACAATGTTTTACATTCGGCGTGAGACTGTTGCCAACACTGCTGTTTGCCATCCTGGTAATGAGATATATATTTTTTTATTATACAGGTGTGTATGTATAACCATTAGTGGGCATTATATCTCCGCTTGGGAATGTAGTAAACTGGTCAGGTTAGCAAACTGTTAACATGGACATTAAAGTAAATCCACAGCTTGTTTTGTGTGAGTAGTTGTGTTTGCTCCTTTGACTAAATATTATGTTTTGTGTGTTATGGTACATTTCTAAGTGGTGTGGTGTTTGTGCGTTCACTGTGCGCACTGTCATATACAAAGCATTGAGTGAATGTTGTGGGATGCTGTGGTTTTGGTTCAATACAGGCGAGTTCAGTAAAGTTTGACCTCACAAAATGCATACACGGCAGTACCCCAATATGAGCTGATTTTTCTACATGTCGGTGTTTGGAGTTATAAGGAAAACAAACCAACTAAATATTACTGTTTGGGATAAGCCCTGGTAGTAACTCAATGCTTGAGTATAACTGGGAGAGCAAATCGAGTACTGCGACACAATATTAGCCATGTTTTACTATGTCAGAAAATGCAGATACTTTGTAACCGTAGTTTCTTGCATTGAATGTTCAGCGTAACTCTGCAGACTAGTTGCTGGGGCGTTACTACCTGTGGCGCTTTGTGGATTACGTGCAGATCTTGTACCCCTTGCTGTAGATCAGAGCCCGGATTGTTTTAGGTTAGAGAGCATCTTGGGAAACGTACTTCATGGACTCACGAAGTGTAGACATCGGTGACCGCTGTGAACCTGGGAGATTTTGAGTGGTCAAGCCATTTGCTAGCATTAAACTAACCGGGATGATTTCTCAACTTCTTGTGTTTTTATTTTATGTGTTGGTTTATTTTAAAAAATATTTTTATTTTCCCAATGAACCTCATACAAATGTCGATGGATAATTGGTTTGAGTAGGCGATAACGATAAAAGCAATGGACCCCCCAGTTCTGTAGATTTGGAAGCAGCCCGGTTGCCCATCCCCCATTACATTATTCCTATAGTAGTTGTTGCCATCACTTCCGTAATCTAACACAAACAGCTTCTTCCCCGGGGCATCTGTCACCATCGCCCTAAACAAGGCTACTGTCTGCTTCCCAGAACCAATTCATCCCTTTCACAGAGCTGTCTCCTTTACAAAGCTTAATCTCGTTCTCCACCCTGCGGCAGCCTACGCCTGCTGAAGAGGCTAGATTGGGTGTGAGCGGAGTTTGGCTGGATCTGTCCGAGTTTGGAACTAACAGGTGAAGCAATGCAATGCACATCATCCAGGAGAACTGGATATAGAACTCCAGGATTAACTCCCCTTCAGGAGACGCTGGCAGGTTCTTGTATCTGACATATTATTGTTTAGTTATTGGTAACCTAACTCCTATCTCTCGTGGGTCTATGTATTGACTTGTGTGATCACGCAGCATGTCTGGTTTTTATTCCTAATGCAATAAACCTATATTCCGGATGCTATAGTGCTCTGATCCATACTTGGATTCCGAGGTCCTCCTGAATTACATTTTTAAAAAGGTTCCTTTTATTCCACTGCATGTGCGGTGTGTTCATCCAATCAAATCCTTCTGCTTCCCTTGATCAGCGTGTCTGTATCTGTTATTATTGTGAACATTGATCAGAACACTCAGTCTATATTAACGTAAACTCTATTGCACAGTGTCTGTATCTATATTAACGTAATGTAAATCCTAATGCTGTGTGTAGGTGTATTATTAATTAAATCGTATTGCGCAGTCTGTGTCGGACCTGTTGATTCCATTCATTGGATGAATTGCCATTAATAATAGTATGGCAATGGTTCCTGGGATACTGGGCTCTTTCCAGATGTTTGTGTGTGAACTCAATGGGGTCCTGCAAATTACTGCCACACTGTCTGCGTAATGCCGCATTCTCCATAAACAGACTATTTGTAGGATTTATATTCCGCCATTTTATAAAGCGGGGCTGTTTTTTCTCGTCTTGGTCTCCACTTGTTTTAAATCATAATTTTTGTGGCCTTTTCCCCGAGGATGTAGCCTCTTATTTTCAGGCAAGTCACTGGAGTGGATATTGTGTTTATCGTACCAATCTTCCTAAATTCTTCCTTTTCTCTTTTCCCATGAAGCTGGTATGGTGGTGAAGTCCACTTAATTATGCCAATTTAATGTGATGGTTTTATTTTTATAAATTTCTTTTAATATGTGCGGTAGATGTCTACCTTGATGTTTATTCAAAATACCACAGATGATTCTGCTTTTACTGCTTTGTTACTTTGTTACATAATGTTTCTCTTCTCAATAAAAACCTATTTATAAAAAATGGCGAGTGCTGGTTTACCATCATGATCCCTGCAGTGATTAAGTGTACGGGTCACACAACGCAGGCGCTTTGGTGGCTGTTATAGTGGTTAGCGAGGCTCTTCGTTTGAGAGATCTTGGATCAAGACTTTGCAGTTAATGGGTTAAACCAGGTTCTGCTCTGGCTATTGGTGCTAATTTTGCTGAGAGGTAGATGTTTGGATTCCTGCGTAATGCATTGCTCAGGGCCACCATGTTTTATTGCATCCTTGCCGTGTGTGTGCCATATTCATTCCTGTTTAAAAGGCAGTACCCTGTACCCCAGGGCAATTCAGAAATGGGCTAACATTACAAATGTACATGTGTCTGTTGTAACTAATCACCACCTCACCTTCATCCGCTAAATGCAAGGGGGGAAATGCATATTCCAAATCCACTGCACAATGTCTAAATAAAAATAAATTTTTGCTGCATATTCCGCAGTGCGGTACCATGGCCAGATGCTGGTTTTTGTAATGTTCTGTCCCTTTTGTTGTAGGTTGTGATCCGTTCGGACGATGGAGGCTGTAATCTCACAATGGGTGCAGAAATACCACAATTTCATGAAGGGAGCAGGTGAGACCCCTAATAAACAATTCTCTGCTTCTTTCTCATTGTCTTTTTCTACAAGCCTCATAGCCCCCAGCTTCTGTTAAACTGCTCTTCCCATTATGCCAAACCTGCCATAGCTTGACCGTGGATCATAGGACTGATAGTCTGCCAATAGCTGGAACAGTAGATCTTGCAGCCTTATGGCGAGGAAGCGGTTTTATTTTGCATGTTTTTATCTCTCCATTGCTTTGTTATGATTGCGTTGATCATGCTGTAGAAATGGATGATAAAATTATGCAAATAAAGACACCCTATCCACATCTTCCCAGCTGGCTTGTTATTTTATCTTTACATCCTCCACCTGTCCTTTCAGACCGTTTATGGGCTAGGTATATAACAATCATTCTAGTAAAGATTCACTGTGTGGTACATGCACCCATCCCAGTGAACACACGGAGCGCTATATATAGATATATATATATATATATATATATATATATATATATATATATATATATATATATATTACACTCACATGTAGGTGAGCCACATAGGACCGGCTCAGATCACTTAAAGGGACTCTCCAGTGCCAGGAAAACGGCACTGCAGAACTCTGCAGTGCCCTTCTCCTTCCCACCCTACCATCCCATGTTGTTAAAGGGTTTAAAACCCCTTCAGTGACTTGACTTAGTCCAGTGCCGATGTCCCTCAGCGCTGGATCAGGCTCCGTCTACTCTCCTCCCCCGCCGACGGGGGAGACCTAATGCGCATGCCCAGCAATAACTGCGTACACGCATTAGACCTCCCCATAGGAAAGCATTATTTAATGCTTTCCTATGGGGATTTTGGCAACGCTGGAGGTCCTCACATAGCGTGAGGACATCCAGCGTCGTTTAAAACACTTTTCGTGTTCTGATAGACAGCCACTAGAGGAGGACTTAACCCTGCAAGGTAATTATTGCAGTTTATAAAAACTGAAATAATTACACTTACAGGGTTAAGGGTGTGGGAGTTGGCACCCAGACCACTCCAATGGGCAGAAGTGGTCTGGGTGCCTGGAGTGTCCCTTTAAGTGGTTGTGTACTATGGTGACACTGTCCCTCTTCCTCTGAGTCTTTGATGCGCTTGTGATACACAAAACATTAGAGGATCTAGAAGTCCAAAATGTAGGAAAGTGCATATATGTGGATGCAGTTTCCTTACCTTATTCAGAGCCCATAAACTCTGAGTTAGCAGACTTGTGTGTCTGTAATGGGGACACATACACTCTTCTTTGTAACAGGAACAAGGCAGTGCAGTCTCCAAGTAGGATAAAAAATGTCTAGATTAGGTGGTAACAGCTCGTCATTATTTTAATAATACTGTATCAATTGTTTAAGTGTCTAATACACTACTTATTACTTTTTGGTATGTAACAATCATTGCGCATGGCTAATAGTCTCTCTCATTCAATGCCAATTCCCCATTACTGTCACTCAAACAGAATGACCACTCACAGATTGTCCATGACACAGCCATGCATAAAACGTAAGAAAAAAAAATATAGATACTGGCGCTCAAAGTATATAGATTCAATGAGTAGTAATAAACGTATATAAATAGTAGCTGCTATAACACCAAAGTGTTACACCAATCCCAATAACACAAAAACACAAAGTGTAGCGCTATATACAGAATAAAGAATTATTACAGACCAAAGGGGTATTCCCACCAGTACTGATATTTGTTTTTGCATAAAACTTAATTTAGAGACTGTTTGTTTTTAGCTGATATTTCTGTTCTGTTGGATAAAACCCTTTACGTATTGAGAATGCACTTGGCTTTGACAATGTGCCGATGCATGTGCATCAGCCGTGTCTGGAGAGGTAGTGACAATCATTGAATACGCAGGTCATTTAATCCATAGTTTCCCAATTTCATGTTGTTCATACAGTGTATCTATCCCTACTACAATCCATACGTAACTGCTTTTTCTTCCCCTCTCCCAGACGAGCGGATCTATCATTACCCTTTGATGCAGTCGCCATTCCTCCCTGCAGCCATCCTCCTGAGTTATGTCTACTTTGTACTGTCTCTTGGGCCACGGATCATGGCAAATCGGAAGCCATTTGACCTTAAGCCATTAATGGTTGTTTATAACTTTGCTCTCGTGGGTCTTTCGGCATTTATTGTTTATGAGGTGAGTTGACGTTTTAGGGGCTCTAATTTCTCATGAATACACCGTATATGTGATAATGTATCAGCAGGACACAGGGGTTTATTCCCTAAACTCCAACTTTCTATCCTTGGAGTTGTACATTTTTCCAGAATTCGGGCTGCTACCCCCCTCCCTTACACTAAGGCAGTGATGGTTTGGGTACTTTATCTGTGTCAAAGTTCTGATTTTAAAGGCAAAGGGTAATTTAATAATGGCACCTTATTTAAACATTAGTCTTCAAAATGCTAAAATTGTTCCAAAACTGTTTTGGATTGATACAGAAGTTATCTTTTAAATTGTGACTCATTGAATGATCTGATAGTAGTTACTTTTATCAATGCCAGTAACTTGCTTTAAATGTCACCTGTGGTCCATTCACCCAACATATTCTAGAATACCCTCTGCCTCTTGGGTCATTGAACCCTCTGGAAAAAGTCTGCAGAAGTCAAGCTATAAACTGTGATCAGGCTGTTGGTATACTGTGTAAAATCTAACTCACTGGAAGGGAACCTCGTCACATTCTTGTGGTTGGCAAGTCCACATAACCCTTTAACATAAAACTGTTCTCCACAACTGTGACAAGTTCACTTTCAGGCAGGTGTCGATACGAGCGTAGAGACTGAAAGATACTTAATGGAACCTTAGATGCGGTTCCATAGTCTATCAGTATAGCACAGGAGGGTTGGAATACCCCCAAAAAACTTTCCATCTAAACATTTTTCAAACCTACTAAACGTGTCGTGATACAATGTAACGGAGTTCCAGGTAACTTATCGCTGCTTGATTTGTGGTGGGATTTTTCTGTTTTGCAAGTGATGTAATGTGGCTGATAAACTTTAAAGAAGATGATTACATTGCGCCACGCCTCCCGTAAGCACTTTAAGGTTGTGGTGAGACGTCCATATACGTGGACACTTAACACGAGAAATAATTCCAGGAAATGTTAATGATCTATTTCTAGTGAGTTTTCAGTGACCTATAAATGTGTGTCTGAATGCTAACACAGGATAATGCTTAATCTTTGTCTTTGGTTTAGTTCCTCATGTCGGGCTGGCTAACTGGCTACACTTGGCGTTGTGACCCTGTGGATGTGTCTGATAGCCCGATGGCTCTTCGGGTGAGTGACCGTAACATGGGGCAGGTCTTGGTAATAGATACATCATTCTATTAATGTGTAATGCAATGACTCATTGATATTAAGAAATCCATATTAGTGGAATACTAACTCTACACCCCTCCTTCAGTCATACCACCTGCCGTCACCTTCCACATGACACCTGCTGGACTTTGCACAATAAACACGGTAGCGATAAGGCTTGCTCTTATCTTCCTATATTTCCTTTCTTCCATTACCTGTCATAGCAATTTGTACCCTGACTCTGCTTGCCCTATCTATTTCTCCTTTATCCCAGCCATTGATTTTTATGGTTTCTTCGTTAATAAAACCATAAATAAGATACTGCTTTCCTGGTCTAGCAAGGTGGATGAGTGTTTATATGTGTATGTAGAATTACACACCAACCCAATTGTCTCTCAGTGGGACCCACTTTATTTATTTTAATGATCCTAGAGTCTATTCCAGGTGTGTTACAAATCAAATCTTAACAATAAAATGTAGGTTTAAAATGGCCAAGCTGTGATTGCAGCTGATCTGAAGATTGCCTATTTTGGTCTGAATTTTACAAATCCTATTCATAATTGCTACAGTTCCGTTTTTAGCATGTAACCCTGTTTGTGTATCACAGAGCTCCACAGCAATAAAACTCCATACCCTGTCTCAAAACTATAAAAACGCTTACAATTGTGCAACGTTTAAGAGTTGGTTCTCGTTCAAAATAAACCAGCAAGTCGTGAAGTTGCATGAAGCACCACTCAGCATTCCCTTTTTGGCTTTTTGAGATTTGTCATGACATGGGTCAGAGGGTGAACAGTGGAGGAGAAGATGGATAAGATTGAGTGATGAGACAGAGCTCGCCATAGTCCTCACAGCCTCCATTAGTTGAAAGACATTAAATAAAAGCTTTACTCCCTCCAGCTCACACCAATTTCTGCCCTTCCCAGATAGCCACACAATGGAGGGAGCTTGCCCGCCCTTTGAGCCCTGTTTTGTGGTAATAGGATTCTGATCCGAGAATAACCCATTTCTCTCTCTCTCTCATTGGCAGATGGTACGAGTAGCTTGGCTTTTCCTCTTTTCAAAGTTCATTGAACTCCTGGACACGGTGAGTTTGGCTCTTATAGGAGGACGGATATTTGCAAGTCAAATGATGGCGGAGTTGGTAGAAGCTTCTCTGTAAAAATAATATTCCAGAAATTGGACCCATTTAAAGTAGGGCTTGACAGCGTGTTTCTACATTGTCAAACCTCTACTCCCACTATTCTCAGCCAGTGTCTGACAGGGGTTACTGAAATTGTGGTTATGTTGGGTGCATATTGTAGAAATGGTCAGACGCTTTAAATTATTACAGATTAATTATTCTACTCTCTGTACCCCTGCAGCTTCAGGCAGGACCTCCTGTGGTGGTTACAGGGCACCTTTGGGCTATGTCTTAGAGCTAACGATTAGTCATCGTAAACTACAGTAAACTGCCCTCCAGCTTATGGCTGGATAAGCAGCATAGGAGTTGCAGTTCAGCTGGTGAGATGTGTTTGACATGTTGATGCCCTATACACAGGCCGACATGGCTGTATAGAAGACTACTGGATGGGTTTCTTGGTAATAGCATATCGTGTCTGTTAACTAACTGCACACTTTATTATGAGAATTGGTGATGTTTTAATGGGAGATAATACTAAACAAATTAACCAGAACACACACTTTAGTTACCAGTGAAGTCGCCACTTAGTCCAAAAGATGAGTGACTCTAGTGATTAGGGGCCACTAAAACGCGTTGTAATACTACGGTGTAGAGGTTATGGTAGTGTGTAATTGGTGTGCAGCTGCAGAGCTTATTTACGGCAGCCACTGGTCTCTATTGTATTCAAAAATGAGAAATAGTGGAGAACATAGGCCTAAACTGGGAATCGAAGTGTAGAAGCCCAAGCCCAAGCCACCGGAATGTAAGGCAGAGGTAATGTTTCCATTCTTGGGGCTAGTTTCACAGTTCGGTGTTTGTGAGATTTCTGTTTAATGTCTTTAGTCTTTGGGTTTATTTGGGTTGTGGTGTGTGGGTTTTTTTGTTTTGTGTTTTTGTTTTCTTTTGGTAATTTTTTTTTGTTTTGTTTTGTTTTTGTTTTTTTTGTTTTTATTAAAAAAAAAAACAAAAAAAACTTTTTTTTACACTTTTTTGTGTGTGTGTGTGTGTGTGTGTGTGTGTGTGTGTGTGTCAGTCACCTGGGTGGCACTGACCCCGATATTTAGATTAGCCCTACTGGACAAATAATGGGTCCATGGCTTCCAAGTAAGGATATTATCATGGAAATTATGGGAGTAAGCAGTGAGTTCCTCCACTTTGTGTCCATCCTGTTTAAAGTGGGGGTATGAGGGGATCTCCAGTGCAAGGGGATGAGGGAATTAGCTGCAAGCAGTAGCAGTGGCAAGCAGGAATTTTTATTTATTTTTTACATTAATTCAGGGATATTTCTGTGTGTAAGGGTAAAACTTCTTCAGGGTTAGCGGCAAACTGAAAACCCAAGCTCGTACGTATTAAGGGAAGTATATCACCCCAGGATTTCCAAATTGGGGGACAGAACCACCATATGTGAGTTATTGTACCCTTATCCACCCACACCTCCAACAGCTCTTTGGGAGAGAAAGATACCCCCTATGTAGCTTATATAGGGTGTGGTACCAACTAGTCAGTAACTTCCAGCTGACCTCAAAGAGCCTGGAGCTCGTAGCCAGAGAGTATATGATTTGGGAAAACCTTTTTTCAACTGGTGTATCATGAAGGAGAGATTTAGTGTAAGATGATGGGAGAGGTTTGTACAAAAGGGTCTGTATCGTTTTTTTATTTTTTTTATGTTTCTGATGGGAGTCGTTTGTGGAGGGTTTGAGAAATGCGGACTTGTTAATATTCAGTCAGTTGGCGTGGCCCTGAGAGTAAATTTGGTAAAGAGAGTAGATAATATAGAAGTTGATGATGTCTAAATCTGTCTGTGAATGTAGGTATTCTCTCGTAAAGGCATTTTGACAATGTAGGTAAAGAGTCTCTGATGCAGACGATTCATACATTTGGAGAACACGGAAGCAAGAGGACAGCCAAGCACCTAGGTCTTTGGATAATGATGGGCTTGGGGTGAGAGATGTTAAAGGGGAACAAGGTGGGGAGAGACCATGATCAATGTTGTAGTTGTGCCAGACAGCAAGGGTTGGTTGTATAGTAGGGTGTTGGCGTGGACATATTAAATGGCTTTCGGCTACCTTCCAAGGTAAGGTATCTATTGGTACAGTCATGAAACAAGCCTCGACTCGCTTACAGGGTTTTTGAAAGTCTGTAAATGTCCAATCCCGTAACATTGCTAATGCATTGGCAATGGAAAACTTGGGTACATTGGGGTATCCTAGCCCCCCTCTGTTTTGCAACCTCCACAAGTCTGAGTCTGGTTTGTTTGTTTTTTTGTTTTGTTTTTCATCCAGACGTACTCTAAGCAAGCGGTATTAACTGCTCAGAAAAAGGTAGTGGGTATGTGAATTGGAAGTGCTTAATCCAGTACAGGAGTCTAGGAAGTATGTCCATTTTTATGACCTTAAAGGGACACTGTAGGCACCCAGACCACTTCAGCTCATTAAAGTGGTCTGGGTGCCAACTCCCATCTACCATACATCCACTAGAGGGACTTCTGGCTTCTTGGACAACTTTTGGTCATCTAAACTGCGCTGGATGTCCTCACACTATGCATGAGGACCTCCAGTGTAGCCAGAATCCCCATAGGAAAGAATTGAATAATGTTTTCTTATAGGGAGATCCTAAAGCGAGTGCATGGGCAGAGCTTGAGCCAGTGCCAAGGGACCCAGGTAAGTGACTGAAGGAGTTATTAACCCCTTCAGTGCCGCAGGAGAGTACCTTGACGAAAGGGAAGCTATAGTGCCAGGAAAACGTTTGTTTTTGTTTCCCTTTAAGTCTCAATCTAAGATATTGAAGGTGTATTCCATTTTTTTTTAAATCTGATTTTATGGTTTGCAACAAGGGCGGGAAGTTCAAGGAGAGGTCAGTCACTGTCGGTGTCAGCTTAACATCCAAATGCGTAAGGGAAGTCCATGACTTTTCCATGAAGGGGAAGTTGCATTTAATGTCTCTGGCTGTCTGCACTGGTAATCCCACCACTAGTTATTCTGATTTGTCATAGTTAATTGAAAACCGGGAGAGAGAGAGCTATAATGTTGCATTTCTCCAATAAGGGCCGGTGGGGACTGTAAAGGGTTGGTTACGGAGAATAATAAATCATCCACACACACTGAGATCTTAGAATCTGTAGCGTCAGCCAGTGATAAGTGAATTGGCTCTAACAACATTCAGAAGGGGTTCTACAGTCAGTGCGAAAAGGAGTGGGGATAATGGGCACCCTTGGAGGGTTTCGTTCCTTAGACGTACTAATTCTGAGAGCAGCCCATTAATTCCAATACAAGCTGTTGGTTGAGAATACGTCTCAATCCATCCCCTCCAGCATGTGCCAAATCCCAGCCTTCGCAGGACCTCCCCTAGGAAGAGCCAGTACACCTGATCAAATGCCTTCTCTGCATTGGTTGATTTAAAAAAAAGTGAGGGAGTTTTCTGCATGGTAGCCCTATATATTAGGTTGATCACTTTGGTTGTGTTTTTATTTATTTTTTTAATTTATTTTAATTTTCCTTCATTTTTTCAAGGTTTTCTTTGTTTTGAGAAAGAAGAACGGTCAGATCACATTCCTGCACATCTTCCATCATTCTGTTCTACCCTGGAGCTGGTGGTGGGGAGTCAAATTTGGTCCAGGTGAGGTGACCTTGTTAATTAGGCTGTAGGCTTATGTTCGTGTGTTAATGTGATGGTGATTTGTCTATATAGAAAAATGGTCATCTGGACAAACTTTATTTTTCTCTTCCTTACAGGTGGCATGGGGTCCTTCCACGCCATGATTAATTCTCTTGTTCACGTCATCATGTACTTCTACTACGGATTGTCTGCTGCAGGTCCACGGTTCCAGAAGTATCTTTGGTGGAAGAAGCACATGACTGCCATCCAACTGGTAAGAGACAGCCGACTTGTCCAGCAAAGCTGGGCTAAGGATACCTTGAAAGGCATCCATGTACACACGCATAACCAAATCCATGTCATAGTTGTTTTTCCCGCTTCCATATTCCTCCTCCGATGTCATTCCTTCTGCTTTGTCTCCCAGATTCAGTTCGTGCTGGTCTCCATTCACATTTCCCAGTATTACTTCATGGCCAGTTGTGGCTATCAGTTCCCCATCTTCATTCACCTCATCTGGATCTACGGCACAGTCTTCTTCATCCTGTTTTCCAATTTCTGGTACCAGGCATACACAAAAGGAAGACGTTTGCCCAAGAGTAGCACAACAGCCAATGGAGCCCTCCACCAGAATGGTGTGGCCAAGAATGGTAAAACCAAACAAAACTAGATCCAACAAAGACTCTAACGTGCAGTGTACCAAAACATGCGCACATGCATAGCAGGTGCAAAAAGGGTTAAGAACATCACATCTCTTTTCTAAAACCCAGAGAAACCAAGCTGGTTGGTTGATACAAGCTGCTCAACTGGTTTCCAAATGCATCTGGGGCTTACACCAGCCAAATTAAGTGCCTAAAGACTTAATTCAGACCCCAAATGTCTGAACCCCAGCCACCCTGTGTTCCTCTTGCAGCTATATTTACCCATCCTACTACATCAAACCACTCCTGGGTATGTGAAGAACCCACCTCACATAAATGGTTGTTTTGGGTTTTTTTTGGTCCTACTCGGTCCCATCACAGTAATAGAGAACTCAGATTCTGATTGCATCACATTCCAGTATACCTCCCTTTTACCAGGAGAACTGCCTGGGTCCAATTCCTCATTAACTCCAGTCTGTCCTTTTCTTCGGTTTTTGCACTGGGAATTTTCTGGTCATTGGGAGATCTGTCAATGAGTTGTAACAGCTACAGGAATTCTGAAATACTTGAATACAGAATGTGTGCTTCTCTACATATTGCTACTGGTTGGCTTTCATTGAGGTTGTCTGTTTATTGCCACTTATGTCATGGTGATAAACCTTAATGTACACTCCCCTGCCATCATTGTCCCATCCATATTAATTTCTGCCTCCCGTGTCACCCGTTTTAACATACTGTAGAGCTTGCAGATCTGATGGCCAGCCCACAACAAATTACTGTTTGATGTATCCGTGGCGGCACACAGGCAAGTTAACATCAGAATACCAAGTGAATTGTGCTATTCCTTGCCTGTATAAGACCCTGTATAAGACACTTTTTATTGTATTTTGAAATGTGATGCTGAGACGTGTGACTGCTGGGGCTGGAGATGTAGACCATGGATTGGACAGTGCTGCGTAGAACCCGGAACTCCTTGTATCTAGACCCTGCAAGTCTGCCAGAATCTATTTATCAATTTTGTGTTCTTTTGTGCTAATAAAAGAAGATTATTTCTTGTTGGACATCTGGAAGGTAGTCCTTAGCCAAAATCCCTTTTTAGGGGCCCAGCTTGGCCTGGATGGGTTGTATAATGTATATTTAAACTATCGGACAATGATCTCACTCTGACACTGTAGTTGCATTTTTAGAGTTATCCCAGATTTGCCAGCCTTTGGCTGTTTAGAGTGTACCCTCATTATTAGGCCTCTGGCTGATTATGAGATTATAGTCTAACAGCGACTCACCGTTAAATTCTATCCAAAGAAATTGATAGGCCATGTGCCTGCTTGAAATTGTTAGGATTCTTCACTAAATGGTGTTTGGACTGTGTGTGTTTTGGGATTTATTTTTTTTCCTACTCTAAAGTCGACTTTCTCCAAATCTCCATTTCGTAAATACCCCCTTAGTGTTCACGGCCAAGCTGCCTGTCCTATGATAAACAGCCACATTTTGTCCTAAGCAACTACATTTTCTTTGTGTTTGTAAATAACCATTAACTTATGTTAATTTTTACTTTTAATTCAAGTACAGTGTATTTAAGACCTGAAATCTGATGTTGATGTGCGTGACCTGATCTCCGCAGTTTAAATACTAGTGATGAACTTCTGTGTAATAAGCTCATGAAGAAAGTTCACCATACTGTGCACTATTAAAGAGGTGCTTTATCTTTAAAAACAAAAAAATCCCCTCTGGGTTAATTGGAGCAGAGGAAAATCACACAATGTGCCTTAATGTACTGTCTTATTTCATTTCTAAACTGTATCCCAAGTCACCTTGTACTGTTATTAAAGCTTCTTCCACCCTCGCCGCCTTTCCATTTTACTGAAGTAATGCTCATTATGTCGATGGCTCGTGTCACAGCGTGAGGGGCGGAGGCACCCCAGAACTCTGCTGTACTGTACAGCTTACAGATTTAAAGATCCAGCTTTCACTAAACATCCATAAATGCATGAATCTGGATTTCTCTAAACATTCTATAAACTTGGTTTGAGATACATTATAAAAGCTAAAAATACTGTGTAGTGCAGATGGTGCATAAAGTGGAACACAATATGTGATATTGAAGTCAGAACACTCACATTTTAAGGAGCCTGTGTGTGAGTACTGGCTCCGTAATCAAACTGGTGTGCTCTTATGGCAGCACCACACCGGCAATATGTTTGTAAAATGAATCTGAAAAAGGAAACATGAGACGAGCCAATGTGTAGTCTGTTAAAACCATGGGAGAAGGTGTTAATAAAATAGGGTGCTCACCTTTATTCTGAGCCCACAATCCTGGCTCTGAGGTATGCAGGTACTGTGCCAATTTAATGGGGATGGCACTACCCCTATGAGGATTCCTTGAGGCTCCAAAAATGACTTTGATAAAATAACAGAATTTATTACAATGTTAACATAAACATATAAAATAATACTTGCAGTAATAAAAAAGTAGCCAATACAGTAAAGGGCTTCCTCAGTCAGCTGTAGACTGACTTACTCAACAGCTGCTTGAGGAAGCCTCAAGGAATCCTCATAGGGGTAGTGCCATCCTCACTAAATTGGCACAGTACCCACAAACCTCAGAGCCGGGATTGCAAGGCTCAGAATAATGTGAGCACCCTATTTTAACAGACCACCTATTGGCTTGTCTGTTTTATGTTTTCCTTTTTGAGATTTATTTTACAACGTATTGGAGGTGTGGTGCTGCCATAAGAGCACACCAGTTTGATTACGGAGCCAGTACTCACACACAGGCTCCTTAAAATGTGAGTGTTCTGACTTCAATATCACATATTGTGTTCCACTTTATATAACATCTGCACTATACGGTATCTTGTCTTATCTTTTAGATGTATCTTAAACAAATTTTTTATTCAAGTTACGTGGTAACTTACCTCACATACGCACTATATATAAACAATTTGTTTAGCGCTCCACTAATAGGTGTAGGCTGTTGCTTACACCGGTTTATAGACTTTTGACTTTTTTGTTAATAAGAGGCTATTGCCACATTAGTGTATAGAGCTGCTTGCATTTTTATTGTTCCACACACCCCTCCCATGTAGGAGGTGTATTTTGACTTGCATTCTATAAATCTGGCTTAACATTCCCAGGGTTATTTTAATAAACATTGAAAGGTAGTAAGTAACAAGCTGGATTGGCACGCAGAGCCGATCTCTAAAAATTAATTAAAATAAAAATACAAAATGTAATTCTGAGTTTGCAATTTTAGCCGCCATTTGGATTTGCGTGTGCTGCGTTCTGGCCTTTTGGTGAATAACCCTGGTGTGTTTGTATGGGTGGGGTGAGCACTCTGGGGTAAAGACGTTGTGCTCCTCTGTGGTGGGTGTTCACGTAAACTGCTCCTTCGAGAGTTAACTTGTAGGACCTCTAAAATATAAATGGTTTTATTTTAAATAAGTGAAATGTAAATTATAAAAAGTTCATTCTAGCGAGGGTCCCAGGGACGCTCTGTACACGGCGTGGCGTAGCGCCTATCATGCATTCAGCGGGCGCACAGATGGCAGGATTGTGGGCCGTGCAGTCTTTCTAGTATTAGGTGTGCGTGAATTGTAATCCAGCATCCAGAGAAAGATTCTGAATGTGACGAGGCTCGCTGTAATCTGTTTGAGGCTGTTTTATCCTGTAAATCTAGATTCAGGGGGAGCCGGTCCCCTTTAAGTTGCAGTGTCTGAACATGCTGGGGGTGTTGGCCACACACAGGCGCGGCGGTGTTACTTCAGTTATTACTAGCAGGGAGGATGGGACAACGTGCTGCTGCTTTTCCTTTGGTTTCCCTGGGCGTTCTCTGTGAGCGTACAAAGCAACACGCAGTCATGCGCCATGAATATTTCAACGTGTTCCTGGCTAAAGGGAAAAGATTTATATTTATAGAGAACCAAGAGGCAGCACTCGCCTGAACACTCATACAATATAGGGTGCTGCTGGAGCCTTTTCATACAAGATCCATACAAGATTCTGTGAGCTGTTTACTGTGTGTGTGTGTGTGTGTGAAAATATATATATATATATATATATGTTCATATTACTCTGGTTGATCAATAGATACAGAACAATGGAGCTACAAACTAGTGTCTAAAATAAATAAATACACCTAGTTTAGTATCACGTTAACCCCCACAACCCCCGGGGGTTGTAGTAACCGTTGCTTACATAGTTACATAGCTGAAAAGACTGAAGAAGAAAAGTTTCCAATTTTGCAACAAACTAGGAAAAAATTATTTCGCTACCCCAAAATAGCAGTCAGATGTCTCCTTGGATCAAGCAGCTATTACCCCACTAATTAGAAATTATATCCCTGTATGTTATGTTTTTGGAAGTATTTATCCAATTACTGTTTAAATAACTGTATAGACTCTGACAAAACCACCTCTTCAGGCAGAGAATTCCATATCCTTATTGCTCTTACTGTAAAAAAAACCTTTTCTTTGCCTTAGATGAAATCTCCTTTCTTCCAGCCTAAATGTGTGACCTTGTGTCCTATGTAAAGCCCTGTTTATGAATAGATTTCCAGATATATACTGACCCCGAATATATTTGTATAACGTTATCATACCCCCTCTCAGGCGCCGTTTTTCTAAACTAAAGAGATTTAATTTTTTTTTAACCTTTCTTCATAACTAAAGTGCTCCATTCCTTTTATCAATTTTGTAGCTCGTCTCTGCACTTTTTCTAGTGCCATGATATCCTTCTTTAGAACAGGTGCCCAAAATTGCACAGCATATTCAAGGTGTGGTCTTACCAGCGATTTATAAAGAGGCAAAATTATATTTTCATCCCGAGAATTTATGCCCCTTTTTATCCATAACAAAACCTTACTGGCCTTAGCAACTGCAGACTGACATTGCATATTGCTGCCTAATTTGTTGCCTATAACAATTCCCAAATCCTTCTCGTGTGTGGTTATCCCTAATTCACTACCATTTAGGGTGTAAGTTGCTTTGTGGAAGTAGTGATTCCAGCAGGGTTTGGCAAATTTATTCAGATTTATTGTAATTCTAATAAAAAATAAAAATAAACCTTTATTTTATACTTTGTATTGCTTTACTTTGACCAAGTAGCAGAGGAGAGATTGGGAGCAGTTAACCCCCGCTATATCTCTGGAGACAACTTTGAGCTGTGTTCTACACATACATTTCCTGAGTGAAAAGATTTTGGATAACCACCATAAATCAGTATTAAACAAAGGGTTAAAATTCGCCCCAAATGTAGGATTGAACCATTTTGATATATACATAGATTTAAATAGATTAAAACGCAGCTTATGTTTAAAAAAAATGTTTCTTTAACAATCAACAATCAACCGAAGGTTCAACCGATTCAGGAAGTTGACCCTACAGGATTCAAACATACTACTTTAAAGAACAAATCTTTTTATCCCAAACAAATGATATCGGACGAAATAGTATCGTTTGAAACTATGGTCATGACTGAATTAAAGAAGATTGTTCCTAAAGACAAATTTAGACACAATTTGACAATGTTGGAAAAAAGGGCATTGAAAGATCTCCAGACAGATAGAAATATAGTCATAAAACCGGACGACAAGGGAGGAGGAATAGTTCTGATGTCGAGACAATTTTATAACACAGAAGCAAAGAATATTCTGAAAGATATTAATACATATCAAGAACTTAAAGCAAATCCGAGTGAAAGTATCTATATATATCCTTCTCGAAATTTTTTGAAAAAGGGTTCCAGGATAATATCTTGAGTTTAAAAGAATTCCAATTTTTGAACATTAAATTCCCTAAGATTCCGTTTTTTTTAACTTTCTACCGAAAGTCCACAATGACGTAAGGAAGCCTCCTGGTAGACCAATTATAGCAGGGATAGACTCCATTTCCAGTAGACTATCCCAGTACATAGATGTACAGTTACAACCACTGGTTTTAAATACAAAATCACATATTAAAGATACAATCACAGTTTTAAATAGATTGGAGAACATAACTTGGGATGATAATTGCATCCTAGTCACATGTGATGTGGCAGCGCTCCATAGTAATATTCTACACTCTTATGGCTGTAGAGCAGCAAGACACTTTCTGACAGAATCAAAGGGATTCAATCAAGAACAAATTGAGTACATTATAGAAGGGATAGAGCTGATTCTAAAGAACAACTTTTTTCTGTAAGTAAATGGGATGGCCATGGGGACCAAGTTTGCCCCCAGCTATGCCAATCTATTTATGTCCTATTTATGATGGGCATGGCTGGGTGGAAAGCTTGGTCTTTTATGGCCGCTATATAGATGACATACTGTTCATCTGGAGAGGTGAGGAGAAGGATCTAATGGTATTCCTGGAATTCTTAAATACCAATGACTGGGGCATCAAACTCAGTAGTACATGGAGCAGAGAATTGGTCACATTCCTGGATTTAGACATTTTCATAGAAGAAGGGAAAATTAAGACTAAAAATCACTTTAAACAAGTAGATTGTAATAGATTTATAGAGAATGTAAATTGCCATCATTCCCCCTGGCTAGAGAATGCACCAAAAGGACAATTCTTGAGGATCCGACGTAATTGTAGCGACCTCGTTGTCTATGATGAACAGTCTTTGCATATAAAGACAGACTTCCTGGCCAAGGGTTATGATGCCCGTAAACTAGAGAATTCAAGGAATGAAGTTAGGAATAGAGAAAGAAAGGAGCTGTTATCCTATAAAAATAAAATAATCACAGATGTACAAGATGTCCCATTTGTCTGTAATTATAACTCTCACAAGTATCAAATCAACCAGATTAAGAAATATTGGCCGATATTACTACAGGATCCTGTTTTGAAACAAATTCTTCCCATTAATCCTAGAATGATATATAGGGGTGCTAAAAACCTCAAGAACACTCTAGTACGAAGCTCGTTGAAAGAAGTCAAAACCCCTTCCACTATATTTAATAATGAAAAGGGTTTTTATGGCTGTGGACAATGTACAGCTTGTAAGAAGTCAGGATGTGCCTGGAGAAAAGTGGAAGACATTAATCTAAATGGAATAGATAAAATTCAAATAAAACAGTTTATAACTTGTTATTCTAAAAACGTGATCTATCTTCTGACTTGCCCATGTAGGGAAGGACAACTAGACCCTTACATGTCAGAATTAGAGAACATGTATACAAAATACAAACAGGTTACGAACAACACCGCGTATCTAATCATTTTAAACTATATCATGATCAGAAACCAGAAGGTTTGACCTTCTGTGGCATTGACAAAGTGGGAAAGAACTGGAGAGGTGGGGATTTTATAAGGGATTTGGGGAAACGGGAGATGGAGTGGATCTATAAATTGAACACTCTAATCCCTAATGGCCTCAACTACGATTTTGAATTATGCCATTTTTTATAATGTTATTATTTTTAGTGATATTATTTATATATGTATTTTTTATAAATGAATTAAAATCAGCTTACACAGAATATGAAGATTTGGAATACTGAATTATGACTTTTTTATAATGTTATTATTTATAATGATATTATTTTACATTTTCCATAAATTAATTAAAATTAGTTTGTATAGAATATGAAGATTTGGAACATTAAGAAGGGACATATAAAGAAAAAGGGATTAATAAATGAGAAAGAGGGAATTTAATAAAATAAGATACATTATCAATTAATCTGAAAAAAATAGAAATTTAAACATAGAAATAGAATAACTAATGTTAAAAGAAACTGTAATTAGATACAATTGTCTCCTATTAATGTATCTCTTATACTAGAAATGTATCAATGTGAACACATTCTGATAAACCTATAAATAGATGATTTGACTAAAGATAATTAATATGGAATGAAGGTTTATAAAAGATTTGTATTTTATTGAATTTTAAAAGGTGGAAGTATTTACTTATTGTTTTTATGTTGCTTTTTGAACATGGAATTTGTATAAGTTATATAAGGTTGTATGATTTTATTGTGTCTTAAAGGACCACTCTAGGCACCCAGACCACGTCAGCTTAATGAGGTGGTCTGGGTGCCAGGTCCTTCTAGGGTTAACCCAGTTTTTTATAAACATAGCAGTTTCAGAGAAACTGCTATGTTTATGAATGAGTTAAGCCTTCCCCCTAATCCTCTAGTGGCTGTCTCATTGACAGCCACTAGAGGCGCTTGCGTGCTTCTCACTGTGATTTTCACAGTGAGAGCACGCAAGCGTCCATAGGAGAGCATTGTAAATGCTTTCCTATGCGACGGGCTGAATGCGCGCGCAGCTCTTGCCGCGCGTGCGCATTCAGCCCAGGAGGAGGATCGGAGGAGGAGAGGAGACAGAGAGCTCCCCGCCCAGCGCTGGAAAAAGGTAAGTTTTTAACCCTTTCCCCTTTCCAGAGCCGGGCGGGAGGTGGTCCCTGAGGGTGGGGGCACCCTCAGGGCACTATAGTGCCAGGAAAACGAGTATGTTTTCCTGGCACTATAGTGGTCCTTTAAGTTATGGACTGTGTAGCGGAGATGCAATGTTCCCCAGGATATCTCCGCTTATAATCCAAGTGAGGCTCAGGAACAAGTAAATAGTAAATCCACAGGCAAGGTTTCCAGCAGGTAAAATAACAGCAATATCCCCACAGCAATCCCAATAACTGGACGACACACAGTTTCAGGAGCAGAACTGAAAGCTTTTAATCCACAGTCTCCTTTTAAAGCATGCTCCCATGCAAGGGAGGGATTTACAGTAATTATTACAGTAGCCAATCCTGTCCTGGTAACCTCCCACACATCTCCTCCCCTCAGCCAGCATCATAATCCCCTTATCCAGTACAGTAATTCCCCCCGTTTCTGGATGTACCCCTAAACGTAGGGGTACCTCTTTAAATCATACATCCCCTGGTAGCCCTGATCTGGGTGAACAACATATCCAAAAATCACCCAGATCAGACCAGGGGTTCTGGAAATTTATGGAGGGAATAAAATGACCGACCGCACTGAGTGAAACAGCCGAATGCGGTTCCATGTGAATGGGCCCTGCGGTCGGTCCTGGAGTAAGGGAACAAACTGCATGAAAACCTCTAGCTATAGAGGCTAGGGAGGGTTCGCCTGAATCCCCTCGTTCGGTTCTTTCTATCTACCGAACGAGGGTCCGTTCGGTAGTTAGGAACCGAACGGACCGGGCTTGTGGAGGTTTCAGCGGTGTTCGCCTAGTCGAGTGTCCGATTTGAGTTCCAGACACTTGACGGCAAAACACCGCTGTTCGGGAGTTTTAAAATGGCCACCGCCACGTGTTCGTTTGTCGAAAGGCGGCCACCCCCGAGAACAAAGGACGGCTACTTCACTTGTCAATTACCTGTTCGCAACAATGTTGCAACGGGTAATTGAGGACACACTTCACACAGGGGAGGTCTGACTGTTGGGTAGTTTCATTCGAACAAACTAAGGGAATGAAACTACCGAACAATCAGACGAATACAATACATTTTACACATAGAGCTTAGCTATTTTACACGAATACATTCCCTTACTGCATAGACATTTAGCAAATAGACGAATACAGTTTAAACATAATGTAAGTCCCAGGGCAGCTCATGGCCATACACTACAGACTGAAACTGCGCTTTTCTTATATTTTTTATGTCACCATTTTTATGGAACTGGTAACAAACTTTGCGAGAAAATAAGACAGTTTCCGAAATTATAGAGTTAATGAGAATCTCTGAATGGGAGCAGAATACATCGATATGCCATGCATTATAGAGAAAGCAAGCGAGAGGACAACATTCCGGTACCTTTAGGTACCGGCACAAAAGAGAGGCATGGACTGCACACGCTGTGCTGGTGGGCGGCACCAGCGTGTGATGACGATCTACACCGAGCATTCACCCGCCGTTATAAAGATATTTAAACTGACAGAGGGAACCTAAAGTCATTCACCGATTTTTATCCGGCTGAGGAAGCCAAATTGATATTGGCGAAACGCGTTCCGGTTTTTAGCCTATATAGGCTGTCTATATAGTATGTATATTGAATAAATTGTTATTTTGATTTTTAAACGGATTTTGGTTCCAGGTATTTTTTCACCAAAGAAGGAGTGCAGCCTTTAATCTGCACAACGCGGGTTAATTGAGTCATATACCTATGACTCCATCCTTGTGAGTATTGACTCTTAAGAACTTATTGCATTGTATCATACATATGTTCAAACAATACTGCGCAATTGGTTGTGCCCCTTATTTTGTTTTGTAGAATAAGGAAAACATTGACAATAGGGGTGGATCGCCTAAACGGATCCAAAGACGTATTAAACTAGAGCTGGGCCCACAGCTCCACGTTTGTGAGTGTAAATAATTAGGAATTTGCTCTCATATCCCATATTGTATGATCTGCACTATGTTAAATTGTTTCTTGCAGATATCCATTTGATGTACTTGTTAGGACAATCTTCACATAATGATTTTACAAGGTGATTCATTATTTTTAAAATAAGCGCTACATTCATTTATTCTGTATCCTTACTGGCCTTAGCAACTGCAGACTGACATTACACATTGCTGCCTAATTTGTTGTCTATAACAATTCCCAAATCCTTCTCGTGTGTGGTTATCCCTAATTCACTACCATTTAGGGTGTAAATTGCTTTGTGGAAGTAGTGATTCCAGAAGGGTTTGGCAAATTTATTCAGATTTATTGTAGTTCTAAAAAAAAAAAAAGAAGAAATAAACCTTTATTTTATACTTTGTATTGCTTTACTTTGACCAAGTAGCAGAGGAGAGATTGGGAGCAGTTAGCCCCCGCTATATCTCTGGAGACAACTTTGAGCTGTGTTCTACACATACATTTCCTGAATGCTTTATCTGCCAAAGTGATATTACACTAGGTATGTTTAACCCTCTTTAGACACTAAGAATGTAGTCCCATTGTTCCGTGTTGATCTGTCTAGTATAGAGGCTAAAAGGAAAGTCTGCAAGCGGTACTGAATCAAGTTAAGTATTTCCTTTTAAAAGACCACGTTTAACCAAAATCTTCTTTTAGTCTATTGTCTGTGACATTTTTCCTTTGTGCTAAACATGGCCCCTGTAGAAAGCTTAACTAATGAAACTATGATCCAACCATGGCAGCATTAAAGGGACGCTACTCACTTTAACCTTTTGATCTCCTTGCAGTGGTTATAGTTCTTAAAGTCCCCTGGCTCTGTCTCCCCATTCAGTGTTAAACCATTTAATCTCATTGAAGTGGTTATAGTGCCTGGAGTCCCCTGGCTCTGTCTCCCCATTCAGTGTTAAACCATTCCATCTCATTGAAGTGGTTATAGTGCCTGGAATCCCCTGGCTCTGTCCCTCCATTCAGTGTTAAACCATTCCATCTCATTGAAGTGGTTATAGTGCCTGAAATCTCCTGACACTGTCTCTACATTCCAGTGTTAAACCATTCCATCTCATTGAAGTGGTTATAGTGCCTGGAATCTCCTGACACTGTCTCTACATTCAGTGTTAAACCATTCCATCTCATTGAAGTGGTTATAGTGCCTGGAATCCCCTGGCTCTGTCCCTCATTCAGTGTTAAACCATTCCATCTCATTGAAGTGGTTATAGTGCCTGAAATCTCCTGACACTGTCTCTACATTCAGTGTTAAACCATTCCATCTCATTGAAGTGGTTATAGTGCCTGAAATCTCCTGACACTGTCTCTACATTCAGTGTTAAACCATTCCATCTCATTGAAGTGGTTATAGTGCCTGAAGTATCCTGGCACATTCAGTGTTCCCATCTCATTGAAGTGGTTATAGTGCCTGGAGTGTTAAACTATTCCATCTCATTGAAGTGGTTATAGTGCCTGGAGTCCCCTGACGCTGTCCCTCCATTCAGTGTTAAACCATTCCATCTCATTGAAGTGGTTATAGTGCCCGGAGTCCCCTGGCGCTGTCCCTCCATTCAGTGTTAAACCATTCCATCTCATTGAAGTGGTTTTAGTGCCTGGAATCCCCTGGCACTGTCCATTCAGCGTTAAACCATTTTCAAGCATTTTAACACTAAATGAGGGTCTCTGGCTTCCCATAGCTCTACCCCCACTGGAGGTGTGGCTAAGGCAGCGATTACACACCTCCTTCTCACTGTACCATTTCATACTAGCAATTGGCACTGTTGAATGCAATCAGCAGCCACTCTCAGCCAATCACAGCTGGGCATATTCCAAGCAGCACAGAGGGGATGCGCTGCTGGGGAGGCTCGTTTAACATTAAAAACCATTTCACGAATGGAAGGACAGTGCTAGGGGGACACCAGGCACTATAACCACTTAAATTAGATGAAGCAGTTACAGCTTAGTTTCCCTTTAACTAGTGAATCCGCTCTGCCCTCAACAGCAGAAAGGACAGGAACAGACCTGTAAAATTCGTATAAACAGCACTTTCCCTTCCCTAACCAAAAGTCTTGTTTATTGTTATTACATTTTATGTTATGTGAAGCAGATCACTATGTGAAGACACAGCCAGGGGTACCCAGTACGTGCATCACTTTGAAAGGCGTCTCCCTTGGTGTACCCCTGTTATTGACCAAAGGAGATAAAAGTGGTTTATGGGGGGTGCATCAGGAAGCCTCTAATTTAAACAGATTGTCCTTTTACAGAAATCCCCGTCTGCTGTTAGATCAAAGGCTTTAGCAGGCTGTGTGTAGCCATATTATCAGCTGGTCTTCATATTGGTCTGGGCTGTAGCTCTAGCACCAGGGTGCTACGTGTTTGATTGTGTTTTCAGTTTAACACATTATATTTTATAGGGTATTGTTCTTCTAATCGGAAAAATCCCCCTGTCGTTGTCTAGATATTCAAGATCCAAAACTCTTGACCTGTTATGCACTGATTGAGGTTTTAAGATTTTGTTTTTGTGGCGAAAGTGACCTGGTTTTTGGAGGGGCCTGTTTGCCAGCCTCCTGCCCTGCGACTGTGGCCCTGGGATGTATTGCCCTTTAAGGAACTGATTTGGGCCTATTGTATTTTATTATGCTGCTGGCCCTTTAAGAACTATATGGGGACATACTGTGCAGTTACTGGGTGGGCACCATTTCATGTATCAGAGGCACATGGTGAGAACAATGGATGAAGCACATGGTGAGAACAATGGATGGCGGCCATTTTAACTCACAGACACTGTTTGGACTTTTACACACAGTGCCATCTCGCCAGTATTTGGTGCACAGAGACATCATTCAGTAGTTTTAAACTATACAACAGGGGACACATTATACAGTAATTATTTTTCATATAGCCTGTATATGTTCTGCAGAATCTGCATTAAACTGCATCTTCCAAACTACTGAACGGATCTGGGTGAATTTTGGATATGTGGTTCACCCAGATCCCCCGGTTTTTATGGGGTTATTACATGTTTTGGGGTCCCTGTGATATGTTTTATAATACTGTATTTCTCTGCCTGTGATAATTAAGTTAGTCTATTGTGTTGAGATAATTGTATCACAGGCAGAGGGGAGGATTTCTGATGTAATGAATGGGAGTGTTAGCTGTGTTGTAATGTATTGATTGGTTGTCCTTCAAAACCCTGTGGGCAGTACTATGTTTGTAGAATGTGAATAAAAGAGGCTGTATGTGCCAGTACAGACAGTTCTTCTTCACCCTCAATCTAGAGTCCTGTCTCTTATTGGGGGATTTGCTATATCACTACAAGGAATTGCCATGCTCTGCATACTCCCTTAGCTAATCACTACTGAGCTCTTTTAAGAGCTTGTTCCTGCTTCACTCTCTTGGAGGAGAGGTTCACCCACTGGAACCTGGAGTCTTGTCGTAGGTCCAGGGTGGGTAGGAGACGGCGAGACCCCAACCAAGCTGCAGCGGTTAGTGGGGTCTGCGGTGGTTGTGGTGTCTGCGGAGCGCTTGGAGCCCTCTGTAAGCGCTAGGAGCATCCAGTAACGGAGGTACCCAGTCGGGGTGCCAGGTGATCCATTACAATTTTGTTTTTTGATGTGGTGTCTTCATTTCTGTTCTGTTTCTTATCTCTTCCATTTTTATTGCAGAAGGTTGTTGGGTACTTTTTTTCGGTGTCCTCACAATCTGCGGCCGGGTAGAACGTCCCTTGTTATTACTAAATATTTTTGTTCTACTGAAGTGGGTATTTGTTTTTTTTTTATCTTATGTAAACCATTTCTCTTTTTTGGAGTGGTTTTATAATTGGTGGTTATGGTCGGTTTCTTGACGGCGCTCAGTTGTAATGTTGTAGATGTTTTTGATCGCAGCGGTCGTCTCTCCGGTTTCATGTACGCTGGGAGCATAGCCGTAATGACGTTCATTTAGGAAAGTTTCCTTTCTATCTTATAGTACAGAGGTTGTTTTAACTTGTGAAGGGGGACTGTAACTTATTTTAATTAATAAGCAAACGCATATGAAATCCTGGGAAGGATCACCCCTTTAGCTGATTTCTGAACTCTTTGTATCTTCCCGTTCCGTTTCTGGTTAAGTATACATCACCCACTATCTCATGTTGCCTTAGAGAAGAATCAGTAATAAATACTTTTTTAAATTTTTTTTTTTATATATACTTACTGTAATTTTTCTTCTAATTAAAGTAGATCTCTCACTTTCGGGGGCTTTGCATATTTCATAAAGACTTCCGAAAGTGACAGATCCTGTGTGAGTCTTGTGGCTGCAGGGTGCAGGGAACTCTCAAGCTGTGTCTCGTGGCCACCATCTCTTCGTCTTGCAGGTCCCTTCTGTTCGTGGTACTTCAGTTGCCAGGAGCCACGTCAGTGCTGTACTGTCGCACATGCAAGAGAATACAGCACTGAGGTCTTTGGGGGACTCTGCATAATCCTATAGTGACAGAGCCTGAATTCCACAGCCGTCATTGGACACAAGTTGATGGTGGATCTCCACCATTTGTCAACCTCATACTTTATAAGACGAAGTAGCCTCTGCTCCTGAAGCTGGGTATGAAGGAGATCCTCTGCCAAAAAGGATAATTTTCCAGGTAAAGAAGGGGAACCAGTGAAAAAGAAAAATGTTTTGTTTGTCAGGGAAGGGGACGTCCAATTAATAGTAAATTTAAATTCCAATGAGTATGAAAACATGTCTCGGGGTGATTTCAGAACAGTAGGTGGAGGATATTCCAAACCCATCGCAGGTATGCCCTCTGTGAGTTGATGTTTCCCTTTACGGACACGGTATTCTCATTAGGCTGAATGTATAATGAAATAAATAGTTTAGAATTCTTCAATAGTGTCCCTTTCATAATTTAAAGCCACAGTAGCTAATGTGATCACAGGTGTGGCTGCCAGGATTTTTCCACTTTAACCAGTTTGATCTAAAACGTGAATATCACTCTGAATTACAGCCAGCTGACCCTGGGTGCATGCTCCCTACAGAGTTTGTCATAGCTGGTCTCCTAGATTGTTTGGACAGAATGGCTGAATCCATCTTGTCTCCGTGACTGACAGTGTATGAAAAGTGCTGGCCTGTTGTATCCATGCAGAGCATTGGATATCATTGAAATGTCTAGTGCCTTGTTTAAAATAAAGTACTTGAGTGACTAGCATCGGCCTCCTACCTGGGATTCTACCTTTCTGTGACTGTTACACTACTGCACCTATCACCCCCACCCAGCGTTTGATACAGGAAGAAAGCTCATCCAGTATCTTACAATAGAGCTCTGCAGCACAATCATTGTATTCAGTGGCAGATATATATTGATTTTTCTCACCCCTCCTGGGTGTTATGTTTATTCCTCATTCTCGGGTCCTCTACCAGCTGTTCCTAGAACTGCACGTTTCTGGACAGCGATCTCAGATGTCCCACCTGGAATCTGTTGAAGCCACTCCCCCAATTTGGGAGTCACAGCCCTGAGTGCTCCTGTCACAACTGGGAGTACTACTGCCTTCACCTTCCACATCCTTTCTAGTTCTTCTTTCAGTACTTGGTATTTGTCCACCTTCTCATGTTCCTTCTTCCTGATGTTATAGTCACTGGGTATTGCCACATCCACCACGACTGCAGTCTTCCGTTCCTTTTCTACCACCACGATGTCGGGTTGGTTGGCCGGCCAGCACTTGCTTGTCTGTCTAGATCTTGAAGTCCCACAGGATCTTATGTGCCATTCTCGTCTACCCTTTGTGGTATCTCCCATCTGGACTTAGAGAGGTCCAATCCATATTCTGTGCTGATGTTTTGGTACACAATTCCAGCAACTTGATTGTGTCGCTCTGTGTATGCTGTTCCTGCATCCGGCTACTAAGTGCTGGACTGTCTCAGAGGCCTCTGCACAATTTGCACCTTGGGTCTTCCCTGGTGTGGTAGACTCCGGCTTCTATTGATCTGGTGCTGAGTGCCTGCTCCTGTGCTGCTAGGATTAGTGCCTCAGTGCGGTCTTTCAGTCCTGTATTTTCTGACCACTGGTAGGATTTTGTCATGTGAGCCACATCCACCATCTGCCGGTGGTACACCCCATGGAGAGGTTTGTCTTGCTAAGGAACCTCCTCTTTTTCTGCATCCTCGATCTGTGGAAGTCTCAGGCATTCCCTTAGCAGTTCATCGGTGATGTACTTGTGGATGCTCTGTGTTTCATCCAGGACTGTGGCCTTGACACTCATCAGGCCCCGACCTTCTTTCCGGCACGTGTACAGTCTCGCTGTACTGAATTTCAGGTGCAATCCTCCATTCATAGTGAGTAGTTTCCTTGTTTTGACATCCATGGTGACCAGTTCTTCTCTTGGCCAGGTTATTATTCTAGCTGGGTTCCTGATGAGGGTTCCTCTTTGCCTGGCAATCAAACGCATGGCATGAGGAAGAGGCAAGGATATATGGATAGATATATATATATATATATATAATCATGTAGACATTCTATATGGCAGAGGGCTCTAACACTATATGCCAGCCGAGGGTATAAATGGAAGGCCCACTGAGAGCAGTGCCTGCCTTAACAGAAATGTGGAGGCATGTGGACAGTGGTGGCTGTCTATTACAGCGAAGATGGATCAGGGAAACGAGGGGCATGGAGGGGGCTGTGCACACCAGGGGAATGGGGGCTCTGACAACTCTAGCACCTGTCACAAACAGTCAGAGCTAGCCATGTCCTGCCTAATTGGCACCCTTATGAGCTCCACCAACAATCAATAGGGGCATCCAGTGAAATTGAACAAAGTCTTAAACTCTTGAAATGTTCTATCTGATCAGGCATTTTTCCTACTCTACCTAGCAACAGCAGAGAGGAACCATAAGGGAAACTGAAGTACTAATATTGAAAGGGAGAACACACTATATGTGTAATTTTACATTAAAGTTTTATTGAAGAAAACTGGTGGGCGACTGCCTATGGACGAGCTAGTTATCAGACAGGATATGTACAGATACTGTGACGGCTGGCTGATGGAGAGAAGTCCCATTACATAGCATTGTTTATTGACATTTGCGGTCTCTTCCTCTAATGGACACTGAAGATACAAGCTGGCCAGTAAGTACCAACAGTAAGGGACACCTACAAGAACGTGTTATGGGCTTGTCAGAAAAAGGTGTCTGGTGGCACAGCCAATCTTAAAGCATGGTGTAGAACCATGCGTAGCATCTTTGCTTCCTAACTGGAGGGAGAACCATTCTGTGCTTGTTACATCAGAGTACCCATGCTGGCACTTTAAATCCACACAGCTTGAGCCAGCGTATTCACTATAGTGTGAACGGTCAGGAATTTAAATGTCACAATAAATTTAAGTTTGACTCAGAGTCCACTAGGCTTCCTGTTTGGCTACTTACATGCTATCAAGTTTACCTTGAGTTAAAAACTCAAGGTATCTGCATGGGCGAAGCATGGTCCCAGCCAGATAAAATGAATTCATTTTTGGAAACATTGTGTTAGAAATGCTCTCACATCTCTGAACACACCCATTTACAAACCCACATGGCTGCCTTCTTGTGCATGTTAACAGGAGCTAAGACTGGTAATAGAACAGGACTGTTCTGGTTTCCAGGAAGGTTAAAAGTGGAGTGTAGGGTGAGGTGCAACATGTACACTTAGACCCCCTTAATGCAGCCGCCCTGACAGACTCTTCTTTCACCAGCTGTCTTCCAGCTCCTGATATTCAGACAGAAAAGCCAAACACTGGAGCTCTCATTTTTGTCCAAGTTTAATTTTTCATACATGCTTTTATTCAGTATTTATGAATGGCTAGTTTATTTCTTGACACTCTAGCTACCGCCATCTACATGTGTCAGTCTCCCAGGTCAGCCTAATCTATTTAGTCTCACATGACTTTTGCAAGAGTACAGCAGTAACATCTACTCATGGTGGTTCAGCACCAGAAGCAGGACTGGCCAGAAGAAAATGGCAGCACCTGCAAGGCACATGTTCAGATAAGTTAATCTCACCTTTCCCTGCTGGCCACAGCAATGTCACCATCAGGGGTCCCCAGACAGTGACACATCAAGACAGAGTCAAACTACCCAATGCAAGCAGGTGAAACACTACGGTCAGACTGACTTTATTTCATGTTTGCATCATTACACTAAATAGAAACATTTTATACAAGCCCATAATTGCCAAGTGGCAAGCAGCAGTTATAGCGCCAGCTCCCAAGTGATGCCATCACCCACATTAATATTCCTTATTTTAAAAGAGGAAAATGCTTATACCAAAAAGGTGCAACGTACAAAGACCAGGAATCTAGAGTGCAATCGTGGTGTGCAACATAGAACGAAAATCCTGCAAGATCAGGTGGAAGTGAGAGACCGGCCACTATTAGCCTAAGAAGCAAAGATTACTACTCCTGACACTGCATATATTGTAAACTACAATTTTCCATGATGCTTAGCATGGTTTAGAAAGTGTTATTCACAGATATAAGTGCCAAGATTGCCACCAGTACCCAGGAGAAGGTTAGGGGCCTAAACCAGTAACGAAGAGGTGATTCAGTAGATACCCAGATTCCAGGTACCAAGAGATCATAAAAGTCTTCCAGTGCAGTAAACAAGTGATACCTGCACACAAACCTGTGTAAAGTGGCATCACCAAGCCGTGCAAGATAACCGCAGAAAGTCAGATATTTAACACATTGGTTAAAATGTTAGATTTAAAAAAAAAAAAACACAAAAAAAAACAGTTCTTGAATGGGCTTTGTAAAGCACCATGTTGGTTTAATACAATGTCAGCCATACAAAAAAAAAATACAAAGTTTTATTTGAAATTTACAGAACATACATATGATGCGGCGAGTTAAAAGGAGGAATAGATCTCACTCCGTTCTATCGGATACTCTGGTGAATGAGGCTCTTGCTGGTACGTGCCTTTTCCTTTTCTTTCTTGGCGACAGGATCCATTTCAAAACATTTCCACAGTCTCAGGGTTTCATCGCCAGCTGCAGATGCCACTGTGCTGCCATCAGGACTGAGTGCTAGGTTAAGCACCCGGGAAGTGTGACCTGCAGGAACCAAGTTAGAGAATGACGCCAGTGAACAAGCCCACCTTCCCGTTAAACAGGCACAAGACATGTCATTTATAACCAATAACGTTTCTACACCAGGCGAATCATTGGAAACTGCTAGTCTGTTCTCCCCAGTGGGCAATGCTTGAAGGATTGAGCACTGGATCTAGCAATTACTCTACATTATAGCCAACATCACCTAAATCTCTGCTGGTAGATCCCACAAACTGATCATGGAACTAGAACATACCTTTAAGCTCGCTGACTCGGGTCATAGTGGGATATTTCCAGATCACAAGTTGATTCTGTGCAAAGCCATGGCCAGAGATCAATTCTTTGTAGTTTGTGGACCACAGTACAGAACACACCTAGAACAAGGGAAAGTCATTAGTTAACCTGGTCAGTCCAAGCACCAGTGTCTCTTGTGAGCTGCAATGTGAGGAAAGCCGCGTGCTTCCTTGAAGGTCTTACCTGGGAGTGAGTATCTACAGCGTTTAAGCAGGTTCCAGAGCAAACATTCCAGATACGAATGTGTCTGTCACTTGTCCCTCCTCCTGTTGCCAAAACATTTGTCTGCCATGGGCACCATGCCACTGCCTGAGGGTAAAGGGACCAGAAACAAGTCAGCATTCTTTCAACCCACAGTAGAAAAAGAGCCTTGAAGTGTTTCAGCGAGTGGGCAGATTTTGAAGGCAATGTACAGAACTCGACCCAAGTAATTTTAGAACGGCAGTCTGTGCACTGAACATAGGATGCAGACATTAAAACAGATCAAGGTTCTCTTCATTCCCGAATTAAATATTTTCTCCATAATGCAGAGAGACCTTAAAACCAGTCATCCTTTTAAACATCTGAAACAGCCATATACAGGTGTTTCCAGAACAGTACTGTAGTGACATAAGGGACAAACAAGTGCTGAATAGTTGGCCATTTGTTTATTTTTGGCTCACGTCTCAGTTATCCCATTAAAAGGGCATCCAGGACCAAAGCGTCAGCATGTCCAGTCTGCACTAGTGTAACCTCCAAATCTTGGCAGTTTTGCCATTGTCGCAACTCTAATATTAATAGCAGGGCCTTCTTTAATACCCTGTGCGAGCATTTGCTTGGACCCACTCCCTGGCATGCAATCACGGCTTCCACCAGGTTGGACAAAAAGGTAGAACACCAACAATCACTGCTGGGGCCCTAGCAGTTTCCCAAGCTTGCAGGGTTGTCTTTCGCACTGTTTGAACTAAAGCTTTTTTTGTATGGAGTATGTTTATATGTGGTGTTAGAGTCTGACTGCAAGCAAGCATTTATGTGTAGTGTTGGTTTTTGAATGTAGGGGTGTGTTTATCACAGGTGTTTGTATGGACGGGTGTGTATTTGTATTTAATGTTGGTGCTCAGATGCAGACATACTAACATACATGTAAAATTTTAATTTTTAAATCCACCCTCCAATTTCCTACAGGGTGGCTTCCCTGAGGTCCAGTGTGGTGCCTGAGGCTGATTGGAGTGAGGAGCCTCCATCCTCACTACCGCCACGTCCTCCTGCGTGGCAACTCCTGTCCCCTCCCATGCAACTTAGTTGCGAGTATTTCTCCCAAATATGTCACTTCCTCCCAACCCCCTGCTAATAACCATGGGATCACAGTCGCACTGTTAAAGGGCCACAGCTAAAAACCAAGCCCACTGGATAACACTAAGTGCATGGGCCACCTGGTGGGACTTCTTCGCTGCAGGAAGACATTTGAGGGCAGCTGCCCCGCGTTAAAGATGGCCCTGATTAATAGGTTAATCAGTTTTCACCAACAAGCCCCAGAGAAGGCCAAAATGACAAGAGATTACTTGATGCAGTGGGAGCTGGCCGGATTTCTATTCTGGTTGCCCATGAGTGGGACCAGTCTGATAAATTGTATCTTTGTTGGCACAAATTACTAGCGATCCCAGGACATTTTAAGTGTCTAGTGGCACCTGTTAAGTTTAGAATGGTTTTTCCTTTCACAATAGAAGTGACAAGGAATTGGCACATATATTGATGTTACACTTTATACTATGAAAACCCAAGATGCAATGCTCACCTTAACAGCCCCTTGGTGTTGAGTGAAGGTTTGTACTGCAGTATACTCTGCAGAGTCTCCCTGAATACTAGGCCATACATTGACCAAGTTGTCATTCCCACCACTGGCCAAGTATCTTCCATCGGGGGACCATTTGAGGCCACATACTTCCTGTGTGTGTCCCGACAGCGTGACCACATGGTGCTGTGCTATTCTCACATCGTGATGGTGAATGAGTCCTGTTCGAGAACCACTGAAAAAAATAAAAAATAAAAATAAAATTCTGTTACTGACTCAATCAGGATATTCCCTGGTACACTGAGTGGGAAGGCTAGAATTCCAGCCCACAAGGAGACACTTCAGTATCAGAAGAGGGGTGTAACTTTTCAGTCCTAGCTCTGCTATGGTTAAAAAGCTGTGGCAGACACAAAGCTCTATAGTACATAGGGATACCATTTGGAATAGACATACATAGTTACAAAGTGCTTACATAGTTACTAGGACCAAAGAGTCATCCCAAGCATATGTTCTGTTCCAGCCAAGTGTAGCAGTTTTGTTGCATGTAGTTTCTAGGAGCCACTGCCAGTTAGAAGCAGACTGACAAACCCAGGCCCGCCACCCCAGCCACTTTTATAATGCCAAATTAACCCTTTCAATGTTGATAGTTATTTGGAACTAGGATAGTGGCTAACCAGTCAGTAACCAACATAACGGATACATAAAGCTGGAGTGTAATGTTGTGTCAGGTGGTTCTAATACTAGACGTGTTGGCAATACAATGCCATGAGATTCAATCTTTACTCGAGTCCACAGTTCTGCAAGGTGTACACCAGCACTGTTTAAACTCTGCATTTAGTGCACAGAAGCTGGGCCTATGCTGTTCAAATATATAGATTGATGGAGTCTTACCTGGAAAGAATGTGACTGTTCCAACTCAGAGCGCCAACACGGGATGAATGGCTGACCATATTACGCAAACGTTTCTGTTGCTGAACGTCCCAGAGCTTGAAGGAAAATAATCAGATGCCGCAAACAATGTTATATTTGGAAGTTGGGAGTCAAGCCCCTGGGAATATGTATTTTACAGACTCTGCACCTACCTGCACTTCAGCAGTGCTGGTCCCCACTGCTAGGTAGTTTCCTTCCTTGATCCAGGAGACAGAGGAGATGTAGTCTACTGGCTGTTCCATTTGCATTAACAGTATTATATCCCCTGAAGTGTGGTTCCAGAGATACACCGAGTCATGCAATGCGACAGCTAGGACGTTCTGTGAACTCCAGTCAATCAGATTCAGATCTAGGAGAAAAGACACTCACCCAATTAAACCACATAACTGCCACAGAGGCACTATCCTTCATGTGCAATCAAGAGGTACATGTGGCGAAAGTAACCTCGCCACTTGTACTTTGAGAGGTCTGCTTGCCAACCTCTTGCTCTGACTATGGCCCCTGGGATGTATTGCCCTTTTAAAAAAATAAATAAATAAAAAAAAAAAAGGCAATTTTGGGCTTAATGGATTTCAATATACTTTCTGCCCATTTAAATTGTATTGCAACAGTTTTACACGTCCAAAGTGGCACTTCAGATTCAGCCGAAGTAGTCGAAATGGCCGCCATTCCACAAACGAACATGTGGCGGCGGCCATTTTAATTCAGCGGTGTTTGGTCGTCGAGTTCATGGAACTCAAATCGGACACGCGACGGCACAGACACCGCTGAACTTTACCTTCTCCAGACTTCAACTCATTTGACTGGAGTTGAATGCTGTTTGACAATTTGAATGGCACTTTAAAAATTGACTGTTTGCACGAACGGTTGCAGTTAGTCTATTTGAACTGAACATGGGAAATAGACCGACCGCACAGCCAAATTCTCTGGAACGGTTTTGGGCATGAAATTGTGTGTGTGCACAGTCAAAAAGAGACTTCCCCTGCTCTGATCTGGGTGATTTTTGGATATGTTTGTAGCGGAACGCCAATATTAAATGCACGAATTCCGCTGGTTCAGGAAATAATCCACAGTCAAGCGCTGAAACAAGGCAATATCCCCAACCTCCCAGTAACCGGACGAAACACAGTTCTGAGAGTCAACTGAAATCCTTTAATTCGGCTGCACAATTTATACAAGTCCCCATGCAAGGGGTTTCCTGAGTCCCTTCCCAGGGGCACTCCCAGAGGGGACTACATGGGGGACTTACATTACAAGGCATTTTTCCCATCAGGCACTGCTGCACGAGAGGGATCCTCCCACTGGAGTATACCGTTAAGTGGATTATCCCTCCGTGCAGCAGAACTTACAATTCGTATAAAAATACATAACTTTATGAATATGCAGTCTATTTAAACGAATGGACGTTCGGTAGATAGCTGGGGTCTGAGCGCATCATTCGTGAGATTACCGCTCAGATCCCAGCTAAAATAACCGAACGCCGCACGAAAAACACATTCATTACAAAATATATTTTAAAAGAACCAATTGCCTTCCAGGGAATAAAATACCGAACGGCCTGAAACTCCCGAACGTCCTGGAGGCTCAGCGGTGTTCGTGCCGTCGAGTAGCCGTTTTTAGTACCATGCGCGCGATGACCTAACACCGCTGAGGGAACAAAGGATCCAAGATGGCCGACCGCTGCATGGTCGGTAGTCGAACGACGGCCACCCTGGAGAGCCTCCAATTACAACATTGTTGCAATCGGTTAACCAGCGCCACACGCCTCTAAGTGTGTGGGCTATTAGGGGTAGTGTTTTCAGTTCACGAACGGCCTTCCAAAGTGCTGTTCGTGAAACGAAAGGAAAACCCCATACAAACTGCTATCTGCATTCGGCGGATAGCAAATACAGGCAATCTAATACAGTACAGTCAGCATACAATACATGGAGTAAAACACATATCTCCCCATACATATAGGTAACCCTTCAAGGTATAGTCCCAGGTTATAGTCCAAGTGGCTAGGTTTGCCACATTGTTCACTCAGATCAGGAGATGTAATATTTAAGGGGGTATCTTCTGTTTTGGGATGTTTTCTGGACTTTGGGGAAAATGTTTTTCTGCCTGTGGATAATTAGTTTGTGTTAGAAGTTTTAATGATATCACATGCATGTTGTATTGTTTTGATTGGTTTATGTCCCTTGTGTGCCTGTGTACCATTGGTCCAAGGGGTGTGCCTCTGGCCTGAAAAACTGTATAGATTGTGAGTGCTTGCTGCCATTAAACAGACCTGCTTGATCCCTTCTTGAAGCCTTGGCTCATGTTTAGGGGATTGCTATAAATCACAATACTCCCCTGGGTGGAGGAGGGCGAAACCCCGGCGCAGCTGCATCACTGGAAGTGGGGTCTGCAGTGCTTCTGGTGGAATGCTTGGAGTCCTCGGCAAGCACTAGGAGAATCGATTGACAGAGTACCTCAGCCAGAGTGCCAGCGGTCTGTAACAGTACTAAATTAACAGCACCGAGATTTCAGGGAAAGAAGATTTCTCTAGACTTTAGAGATGTGCATGACATGAAAACGGATGGGTGTCTACATTTGGAAGTAATTTTATAATGAATACACCCAGATTGCCAAGGTTTAACCTGCACACATGACTGGATCCATAAAGACTTACAGTAATCGTTCCTGATGTCCGGTGCATCGAGGACTCTGTCCGGCATGGAAGGGATGTACCTGCCGGTCTTCTTACAGGACCCTGGGGTTGTTTTCTGACTGTACAGTACTTTGAGGTTATTCTGGTATCCTAGAAGAGAGCAGATAATGGTTTGCTTGGATTTGAGCACCTGACCATACAGTGACCATCTCTATACATGGATTCCAACCAACCTTCAGGGGCGTTCTGCGGCTTCCCACCAAGCCTCAGAATCTTTGCTTCTTCCATATCATAGCCATTGAGGTTCATTGCCCATGCCTTCTGCTGCTCCTGTCACAAGAGAGAGTCTCTATAAATGTATGCAGTGAAATCTAATTTCATACAAGTCCTGCAGGGTTTCAACAATTATTGATACCCATCCAAAATATGCAAGTATGTATAAAATGAAAGTCTTCTTGTGGTGCTCATTATTTACTCCCTGAAGAAGTTGGTGCATTGCCCACGAGACATGTAGGAGCGAGGAATTACTGAACACCATGAGCTACTGGAGTGCCCGGATTACAATTTCCTGTAATCAGACGTGCACAAACAGGAGAGACGTTGAAGTGACAGGACACCCACATCTTACAGGATTGACAAACATTAATGATCATAAAATACTCAGGAAGACCACGTGCAATAATCCACTTTAATTACATTGTCTCAAGGGATCCCTTACATTTGTCTTCAGACTATTCAACACACCAGCTGGTCGTTTATTGAGTGTCTCCAGCCTCACTTTGTTCATGTCAGATTTACTATCTCTTTCAGAGCTAGTCTCCAAGATTGAGGTTTACTTTTAGAGACATTTCTAGCGACATGCTTCTATAGGGGTATGTACACACTCGTTTATGTATATTATTTAGAATAAAGTTTTTTTATATAAAATGTTCCTGTCTCCCTTTGCGCTTCTTGGGTCCCCCCAAATAAAAGGAAACAAAAAAAAACCCACACGACCATACCCAATGAAACCTACAATTCTAACAAACCCTTCCCAGTGATTTAGGTAAGTGCCTGCAGTCTTGTTCAACTAATTCAGAGTATTTAAGTCAAACCTGATAGAATTCACATGGGAGCTAGTCGATAGATTCCCATTTAACAAGGGCAAGTCACGTACTCTCGGTTGATGGTATTTGAGATTTGGTGAATAAACTCCTGTCTGAATTATCCCTTTAAGAGACAGTTGGAACATGGGAAGTACTCCAGTCAAGGAATGGGTCTCTGTTGCTCAGGGGTTCTGCATTCTGATCAGGTTAACAATTAGAGTTTTATTCACTGATCACAAATAGAGGAACTTATTTTACAGGCCGTGCCATGCATCATGCCCTTTCTCCACCTAGCTGCAGGGGCTGTCAGCGGGTGTTCAGTCAGCCAGAGGTGGTAGTTTGTTCAAGTATAGTATTCACAGTATCGGAAATACAGGCTCTCAAAAAGGTAGTTGTCCAGAAAAGTCATCCAATGTTTAAAATGGGCACTATAGTCACCAGAACAACTACAGCTTATTGGATTTGTTCTGGTAAATAGAATCATTCCTTTCAATGTAAACACATTTTTTCCCCTGGGAAAAAAGTGTTTACATTGCAGCCTAGAGCAGTGATGGTGAACACTGCCTAAAGGCTGCAGCACCCGACTGGGCCCCTGATGAGGCAGTTCCCCTATGGGAGCTGCACTTGCCCCGTTGCCTGCCCCCAGGGGCAGAGCCAGCACATGCTCAGCCAATCCAGTGCTTTCCTATGGGATTGTGATTGGTTGAGATCACCACTTCTGATTATGTCAGCCAAGCAGGCAGATCAGGGGCAGAGCCCCTATTTTTATGGAGGCAGAGAGAGGGCCAGATTGTGTTTTTAACACTATAGGGTCAGGAATGCATGTTTGTTCGTTCATGACCCTATAGTGTTCTTTTAAAGAAGGAAATGAGAAACAAAAAAACCACCCCCATATACATCACAACAAACCTTTTTGGAAGGTGAATTATCCACAGGCTCGTTTTCTTTGCTGAGGAGGAAGCTGGCAACGTCCATCTGCATTGTGCTGCGGTTGGGAATAAACCGGTCGCCACCCGCCCTGGAAGGCGTGTTCTGTGTCTTCGGGCCAGATTTGCCTGAAATCAGAGATTAGGATAGTCATGTGAAGAGGTGATATCATGGTGCCCAGGTCAGAGTTACATTTCCAATAATCAACAGCCAACCGTACACCCTAAACAAAGCTTTCTAATGGATACGGTAGAGTGATGTCCTCATTGTTTCTATATAAACCCAATAACTGACACAGGTTGTACCCCCCTCCACCACCCCACATAGAAGGCATTTTAATGAATTTTGCTACAAATTAATTTAAACCAAGACACCTTGGGCAGAGGCAGCCTTAAAGAGACACTATGCATCCTGAACACAATGAGCTGGACCAGTCTGGGTGATCAGTGTTCCAGTCCCCTTAACTTTGCAATTGGAATTATTCCAGTTCTTGAGAAACTACAATAATTACCTTGCAAAGTTAAATCCACCTCTAATGGCTCCCTACTAGACAGCCACTAGAGGGACTTCCGTGTCGTTAAGCCCCTTTCCGTCACCTAACTGGCACCGGACGTCACTCTATGCAAGAGGATTTCCAGCGTCAAAACCCCATAGGAAAGCATTGAGCAATGGGGATAGTCCGACACCCGAGGTGCATTAGGTATCCCCCACTGTATGACATAAGTCAAGGTGGAGCAAGACCCAGCATTGAGGTACAGCAGCGCTGAAATCTAATAAGGGTCAGAAATGTTAACCCTTCTAACACTAGGGGTGCAAGGGAGGGGAGCATTGTAGGTCACTTTAGAGCTAGGAAAATAAATATATATATTAGGTTCCCCTTGAAAGGGACTACAACCACCATCACCACTGTAGCGGATGGCACTGGGCTGTCCTGCAAATGTCTTGTGAATAACTGCATTCGTGTGATCTGCTGGTTTTCTATGTGTTTAAAAGAACTGTATTCCTCTGATTGTTCGGTAGTTTTATTCCCTTAGTTCATTCGAATGAAACTACCGAACAACCAGACCCCCCCTGTGTGAAGTGTGTCCTCAATTACCCGTTGCAACATTGTTGCGAACGGGTAATTGCCTAGTAAGTAGCCGTCCTTTGTTCTCGGGGGTGGCCGCCATTCGACAAACGAACACGTGGCGGCCATTTTAAAACTCCCGAACAGCGGCGTTTTGCCGTCGAGTGTCTGGAACTAAAATCGGACACTCGACTAGGCGAACACCGCTGAGACCTCCACAAGCCCGGTCCGTTCGGTTCCTAACTACCGAACGGCCCCTCGTTCGGTAGATAGAAAGAACAGAACGAGGGGATTCAGGCGAACCCTCCCTAGCCTCTATAGCTAGAGGCTTTCGTGTATTTTATTCCCTTATGCCAGGACCGACCGCAGGGCCCATTCGCATGGAACCTTATTCGGCTATCTCAGTTAGTGCGGTCGGTCATTTTATTCCCTCCATACATTTCCCGAACCCCTGGTCTGATCTGGGTGATTTTTGGATATGTTGTTCACCCAGATCAAGGGTATCCGGGGATGTAGGATTTAAAGAGGTACCCCTACGTTTAGGGGTACATCCAGAAACAGGGGGGGGAATTACTGTACTGGATAAGGGGATTATGATGCTGGCTGAGGGGAGGAGATGTGTGGGAGGTTACCAGGACAGGATTGGCTACTGTAATAATTACTGTAAATCCCTCCCTTGCAT